GGATTTTTCAGGTTGTAAAAAGGAGTAGAAAGGATTTTAAAACAAAACAAAAGGGGGTCTGATAGGTAAACCTTTTATATTTTGTTGATTTTGGGATTATATACTATTTTAAAGATTTTTTTCTGAGATTTGAAATTGCTGTAACTCAAGTAGAAAAAAATGGAGCTAATTTAAAAAGTTTGCTATTGAATTTTGTTATTTTTCCTAAGCTTTAAAATGCTTATAAAAAAACCTACCCTTTCTTAAGTACAGCACTATTTTTTAGATCTAGAAAATTGTTAATTCAAGGCATTTGGAAACCGTTTTCAACTTGAATTTACATCCGAAAAAGCTACTATTTTTTCCCACTTTCTCTGCCTCCCTGTGAAAATGCCACTTGTAGGTGTGACCTTTAAACGGTTTCCTGTATCCGCTGGCAGCAATTAGCAAAACACAGATGAAGTACACCCCACAGGACCGTAACGAACGTAAGCCGCCAAGCGTGTAAAGGACATGCGAACGACATGTCGAACCAAAATGCAATTTCCAAAAAAAAAAAAAAAAACAAGTTGATGTGGAAAAACTACACAAACCCTTTGCTGTTATCTTTGCAGGCCATCGCCTTAACTTTCTCCGAAAACATTAAATAGACGATTTCGGCGGAAAAAGTAAATTAATTAGGAGCGGAACCTTTACGAAAGTTGTCCAACTTTTGCATCGCAATAAGCGTAAATAAAACGCATGATGGAATATTTTTATATACACACTGTATACAAAATATTTGCGTACACTTTGGAGGTGGGATGGACGATTGCTTTGTGCCTCTTCTTCGGCTTCTTCTTCAATTTTTCTTCTTTTTTTTTTTTTTTTTGTGTGGAAAACGACGAGTGTCGACGACATCGTTTGTCGGGCAAATTGAAATTTTATTATATAGTCAGCTTATGTGCGCCCCTCCGATATTGTGTGTTGTGCCGTGCATAAAGCACATACAATAAATTCTCATTTTGTGTAACCAAACAACAACAACAACAACAACGATAACAACAACAACAGCGACAACGACGACGACATCGAGATTAAGTTGAAGGAAAGTGGCGTTGGAGCAAAGGAGGAACAGCCGCTTGATTGAATTGACACGAACCCACCACCACCTGGCTACCACCTGCCACCGAAACTACTCCCTCCCGGCTGGGCTCCTACCTCTCTCTTCCTCTCTCACCTTTGATATTTCAAGCGGGATAAAGAGACCGGCTCAAAATTGAATGAAAATATTAAAAAATACGAGCGAGAAAGACCGATAAGGAGCTGAACAACGCAAAAAAAAAAAAAGTGCAAAAATAATGTACATAAATGATTCCCGTTGACTGCGCAATTTCATTTATTTGTGAATAATTTCATTTAGCCCCATAATTTCATAAAGCGCTGACATTTAAGAGCGGATAAAGGCCTGCTGTGTTGGGCTTTGTCGCTGGTCAAATGATTTGGGGAATCCATTAAGGCCCCTAAAAGGGATACACGGATACGATACCCTTTCTATTTAAGGTCCTGCCTTTGTTTTTTCTTCTGCTTGTTTTAATTTTCCCGGGTTTTCCCCGCAAGGCAGAAACTTTGCTTAGACCCTCGAAGCCTTTTTCGAGTGGCTTTTTATGGTTGCTTCCTGGAACCCTTACCCACCTGTTGCTGCCTGCCACACTCACAGGACCTCGCCCCATGACGCAGAGCAATTTCATGCGCGCTTCTTAGGTTTTTTTTGTTTTGGAGCTGTGCTCATTAATTTAAAACAAGTTGACTATGTCAAATGACTTTTTCTCCGCCAGCGACAGGCGGAGAGACTCGCAACTCGCAACTTGCAACTTGCGACTTGAGAGTTTCCATCGCGAAAAGGTCAGATCCTGAGTTGCAAAGTGGAGGTGGCCGGAACCGATGCACTTGCCCTGGCTGACACCAGAGTTGTAGGTGTATGTGAAGGTGCACAGGAAAAAATATATACTTTAGAGCAGTTAACAAACTCTCTCTTACCTCTTGTGAATTTAATTTAATAAAATTTGGTTCGTTATTTTCCCTTGTTTAAAAAACCCTTAACAAAAACCCCTTTAAAAATTAAGCTCTGTGCATTGTTTTAGCTACAAAAGTGCAATCTAATGCAGGTGAAGCGACAGGTGTCAACAACAGCTGCGGTTCCCATTGAAGTTGGAAGGCGACGCTGCTGACATTTACAGAAGAAGCACGTGGGTGTAATACTTTTAACGCAGAATCCATTTTAAAAAACAACTCCCTTCCTTCCCCCCCCAGGTCTCTCAAGAGCTTTAAACATTTTTTTTGGCTACTGCCTGGGAGGTGAGTGCATTAAATATTTACAGAGACTCTAGGAATTAGTCGAGCAAATAGCCGCAGAGCAAGGCAAATCCAAGACTGGCAAAATGAAACGTTGGTTGGTAAAAAGGCGAAGGGCGGGCGGAATGGCAAATGAAAGGAAGCGGAAACGCTCGGGCAAAAGTCGAACGAGCAACAGGAAGTGAGGCAGAGAGAGAGAGAGAGAGACAGAGCCGGGCAAACAAGCAAACAAACAAACAAACAGACGCTCACACGCAGACCGACAACACACGTGGACACAACACTTTCATGAGGCCAGCAGCCGGCAGGCAGCAACAAAAGACAGAAATAATAACAAGCTGGCTCTAGCAGCTTGTCGGTGTCCTCCCCCGACCTCCACCTGCTCCATACTATTCTCCTATGCTCCTATGCTCCTATTCTCTGCTTTGTCGTTTACAGAAACAAGGCGTGACACAGTTGTTGCACTTACGAACACCCTCAAACACAACGCACCCACACACACAGACCTAGAGAGAGAACAGGCCTGGTGGCACACATCGGGTCAGCAGTCAGAGTTGACTCTTTTGACCTTTTTATAATCGAAATAAATGTGAATTTCAAATTACTGAAACTTCTCATTTAAAATATATACCCTACTTTCCTAAGGGTTTCTTTCACTTCAATCTAAAGTTCTAAAAAGAGCATTGTTTCTCAAATTGTGTACAGTTTTTTAGCATCACTGCCGGCACACATTGTTACTCTGGGATCCTGTGTTATTTATAGTGCCCACCGTATGCACATATGTCTTGCTGGGCTTTGTGTCAAAGTCAGTCTGTCAGATGCATCAAGTCGAGTTCACTTTGCCAAAGTTTCCTGTCGAGTGGGGACCGGAATGGAACTGCAGCCAAGTTGGACATCTGTTTGCACCATTGTCCACTGTCCACTAGTCCACTGTCCACTCCGGCTGGGCTCTCTGGCCTGGACAAGCTCAAACGGAGCCAAAGAGCATGGCTAATAACGAGTTGACAGAATGAAAGAACAATGAAACTGCATTTTCGGTGGAAATCGCCTTGGGCCCAGCCTGGTGCTCATGGTACTCAGGGATTTCACACCCACAGAGATCATGGCCAGAAAATAGAGCCCCACTTGGGCGAGCCTCATTTATTCCAATTTGTGTGCCGGGTGGGCGGGCGATTTGACTGCTATTAAAAGGCGATTCCTTCACGAGTAACAAGTAGGTAGTATCTGCAGTACGTTGAACCGAAAGCCGAGCAGCTGAAAGGAAAAGGAAATTGCTTATTGTGAGCCTTATTTGCTCTTTATACCCTGGCAGGGTATTATAATTTTAGTGAGAAGCATGCCAAGTAGTGAAGGAGTCATTTTTGACCCTATAAATCATATATATTCTTGATCAGCATCAACAGGCGAGTCAATCTAGCTAAGTCTTTAAATTTAATATATTTATTTCTTAAGCCAATAAAAATTTTGCATAAAAAAAGTTTTTCAAATTGAAATTACTACATATTTAATTATAATAAAATTGTCAAAAATTAAAAAGAATATTAATTTTTAAAATTTAAAATTTAATATGTTTTAATTTCTTAATCTAATGGAAAACTAAAATAGAAAAGTTTTCAAAATTTACAGAATTTTTGGCTTAGTTAAAATAGATTCTGAATTCAAAGGGTATACACACTTCTATTCTCCAAAGTAAGCTTCTTTTCTTGTTTTGTATATTATTTTATTTAATATTTTTTATATTTTCTGTGTGCATGGCATCAGTTTCAGGCTCTCCCGCTTATTACTTTCTTTTTTTTCACGGCCTTGGGGAATGGCTGGGATTTGGCCATTTTCAGCCAGTTCAATGCACAGCAGCGAAGTTGAAAGGTCGCCACATTAAGATTTACGGCCAGGTTAACTTTAGCCCACTAAAGTTTCAGAGAAAGTAATCGTTTGGGTCTTAAAGGAAAGTAATTAATGCACGATAAACGTTTGTCTCAATAACCCCAAATTGCTTAAAGTAAATACCAATTAAATAAGTTCTTAGACTTATTAATATTTATTTTTCCTATAAAGCTTTTTTAGTGTAAAAAGCATGTGGCTTTGATTGTTCAATTTATAATTATTATTTTCAGGCAATTTATTTTTACATAAGATGAGTGTAAATATTTGCAATTATCGACCAACTGCCAAAGGTCATTTGCCGTTGTGATGATTAAAGTCGTGAGAGGGTAAATTTAATTATTTATTTAAGGCATGAACAAATATTTACAAAATTGAAGGGAGAAAATTTAATTTAATATAAGTTTTGTTGGTTTACAAAATTATACAACGGGTTTGTGCATAAATAGCACTAAATGGGAATGAAATTTAAGATAAATAACAAATAAAATATATTATAACTTTTTTAAATAATAAAATGCTAAGCTTTACATTTAAATTTAGTTGGATAAAAAATTATATAAATGTTTTGTGTAGGAAATTAAATGAAAATAAAAAACATATAAATAATAAAATATATTTTAACTTTTTCAAATAATAAAATACTAAGCTTCAAATTTAAATTTTGTTAGAAATAAAATAAATATTAATAAAAAAATATATTTAAACTTTTTCAAATAATAAAATACTAAGCTTTCGCCACCTTGCTATCAATGCACCATGCGTAACCGTTCGTTGCGATCGAAATGCGGTCACACTGCTGCCCACACAGCTGATTTTCGCAATTCAAAATTCTGTTTACAAATTGAATTTCGAGGAAGTACACGCAATCCAGTGAGCTTTGACTGAATTATCAGGCAAAAGTAATAACCAGAATAATGTATATTATTGTTTTTTGGAAATAATAGTAAAATCAAGTCTTTCTAGTCAAATACTCGGCCATGGAATCAAAAAATTGCAAATGGTTTGGACCAAACGATGGCCACTGTCGCGATGGCTCCTCGGTCGGCGCTCTGTTCCACAATTTCATCAACAATAACGTTTCCACGCCCTTTGAAATGGGCGAGCTTGTGGGCTACGTGTTACTGCTGGTTATCTCTTGGTACGCGCTAATCTTCGCCTTCAGGTTCCTGCTGTCGCTGGTGAAGCCCGTTCTCATAGTGCTGGCCGCCCTGTTCCTGTTCCGATTCCTGCGCACCTTCGGGGGCCCCGAAATGACGGATCTATTCACCCAAATTGCAAGTCTGATTATGAGTGGCGTGTCCAAAGCTGTGGAGCTGTTTATGCTTCTATTGCAATGAGGCAGTGCTCAACATTCCATTGTTATAAAACCCATGTAAATGGTACTTATGTATATAGCTAAATGCTACTTGGTATACGACTCTAGATTTTCGTAAGATTACAAATATATGTACACATAGATTTGCAGCTTGTGAATGTATATATATATCTATGCATGTTGAAATGTTTTGGTTTCTAATCAAAAACCTTTTTTTATATTATAATCATTCATAATAAAGTTTGCTGAACAATTTATTATTTGCATGAAATCGAAAAGAGAAATAGCTTTTACAGCCGCAATCTCCTTTGAATCTAGAGAGCTACAATTACTTCTCCTCGCACCACTCGTTCTCCTTGCGCACCTGCTCCTCCTCCTGCGGCGAAAAGTCGTTCTTCAAGGCAAACGTCTCGCGAATTTCCTGCGGCGACTTGCCCTTGATCATATTGGCCACCGTCTTGCAGGTGACATCAAGGAGTCCCTGGATGTTCAGATAGTTAGCTGCCAGGATCAGCTCGAACAGAGTGCCCTGGTCGACCTTGAGGAAGTCGGCATCCCAGGAGGAAATATCATCTGTGCGCTTTTCCTTGTTCTCATCCTCCTCGGCCACCATTGGGTCGTCTTTGTGATACGTGGCCCAGTGGAGCACCTTCTTTAGGATCAGCGAGTTGACATTCGGTACAGGGAGAACACTGTTGTCCGCCTCATCGCCCAGATCCTCGAGAGCAATGCGAATCGTCTCCGAGCACTTGGCAATCTCCTGGTCGGTGTCAAAGATCTCCTTGTCGGAGGACTCCAAACGGATGATGGGCATAGCTGTCGTGTAAAGGGAAATTATCAGTTCATAACTCGCCAGAACGAACACACCCACTCTCGTTTATTTTTACCTGCTTTGACGATTAGAAACTATTTGATTTATTTGTGCTGGCAGCCGAAAACAAGTTTTTTTTTCAAAATCCGACACAACACGGGTGCCACTTAGCTGTGGCCTACTGGCTAAAAATAATATTCCCTTGCCTTCAACTTGAACTGAACGAGTGGGGTCCGGTCGGTGTCTAGCAAATGGGGTGCTCTTTATACAGATATTTCGCCAGCTCTTTTGCCGGTCTGCCTGTAGGTGGAAAATGAACTTAACACGCTGAGGTGGAACAGAAATGTGGACCAGTCAGGGGATTCCCATTGCGTATACGATCGAAAATAATGGCGGGTGAAAACAGCTGTTGTCATACAAATTGTATATTCGATAATTTCAGTCATTCAGCGAATATATCGCTGAATATATCGGCTGAATGACTCAAAAAAAAAAGTGTGGCTATATAATAAGTATAAATTAACGTTTTGGATTGCTAAAATGAAAGGCTAAATGTAAATTACAGCTTATTCAAATATTCCAAACTTGCGATAGTTAAATATCTGCTAAAGTGCTTACACACCTAAAATTTGTTTTTCTTTAGTTTTCCTCGAATTGTGTAGACACTGAATGTCATTTTTCTGACTTGACTTTTTTATTCAAGAGAAAAACACGGAAAAATTCGTGTTCCTTTGAGAAATAAATCGCAAAAAGCTAAATATTATTCAGAGGGAACTAAACCCGTGCTGTTGGCCGTATAAAGAGACAATTTTGTTCAACTTTCTCTGTAAAAAAAAGCATAGAAAAGCAAGTAAGACTAATTAATCCTCTTCACCAATAGGAAATTATGAATCACTAATTTCAGCATGCCTACCGTTCGTTTGGAGTCCTCTGATAAAGAAATCTTTACCATTAACCTGGAGGTCATCAAGTGCTCGGATACAATCCGCACGGCTCTCAAGGATCTGGGCGATTTGGACGACTGTGGCGTTTTTCCGCTGCCAAACGTCAGCTCGATGATTCTAAGGATGGTGCTTAACTGGGCCACTTATCACAAGGACGATCCAATAGTGCTCGAGGAGGACGATAGCAAGGAAAAGTGCTCCGACGATCTGTGCCCGTGGGACGTCCAGTTCCTCAACGTCGACCAAGGCACTCTCTTCGAGCTGATCCTGGCTGCTAACTACCTGAACATCCAGGGACTACTCACTGCCACCTGCAAGACAGTGGCCAATATGATAAAGGGCAAGACTCCGGACGAAATTCGCGCTACATTCGCTATAGAAAAGGAGTGAATATACTTTGATTTCTGAAATAAATAAATTAATTCTCAATTAAAACAACGTGGTCTTATTATTATTCATAATTTTAAAGTAAGAAAGAATATGTCGTCTTTTTTCTAGATAATTTAAATTTTGCGCCAAAGAGCACTTTGACCAGCGCTGCCACCCTTTTATCAATGTCTTCAACCCTTGTATAACAGTTTATAACTAAAATCGCTACCAGCGATGCCAGACCGTGCGATCCCAAGGGTTTTCAGCGTTTTAAGGTGCCCAGAAACCGGGAAAGTGCAAATTTAGGCGGCTTTTTCAAAATCCTTAGTGGAAAATAAATTTGTTGATTAAATTGGAAATTAAATTAAATTAAAACCTGTCAAATTTCAAATATTTCGCAATGCCCCATATGGCGTATATCATACGAGACAACCAAATTCCGAAAATTCTGGATTCCTAAAAGATTACAAATTATAATTAATAATAATAAATCAAATATGTTCATTTCCCAGAGTTTGCATCCGTATATAATTAGACTCTATATACAAATTGTTACATTATAAAATAAAGGTTATATAAATTGTAATTCTCTCCATAACATTTTAAATACATTTAAAAAAAGTAAATGCATAAAACTTTGTCGATTAAATTGATTCTGAAACTGTATATCGATGTATCGCATATTTGCTAAAATCGACTAATCGATTTCATTTCCAGCTCTAATCGATATACTTAATATTTTGATATATTTTGCACATCCCTATTGGATTGGCCAGAAAAAATAAAAAACTTTTAAATCGCCTTGCGGACACGGACACTCGCCGCCCCCATTGCCAAGCCAATAAATTGTCTGTGAAATCGCTAATTACCGGTCAGCACGTGCGCCAGCAAGCGGATTTGCGGCAGCGGCAGAGGGTCAAACAAACCGATTTTCCGGCTGAAAAAAACAGGCGGCGGCGTCAACACGCGGACCGAAGGATCCGATCCGAACCGGAGAAAGCCCCCAGGGACGATTGGTAGCGGGAAGGGAAGCGGGAATGGAGCACAACATGGACGTGTACGACGTGAGCGATGATTTGGTTAAGAAGCTCAATGACTGGAAGCTGATCGGGATCATATCCGGCAAGTTCAATGAGCTGAAGGAGAACTACCGCAAGGTGGACTTTGTGGAGCGGGCGCTTATCGATTTCAAGTATATGGAGAAGATCTTCCTGAATGTGACGCTGCGCGAGAACAAGTGCAACAAGCGGAGCGTGGAGTTCCGCATGCTCGGCAACGAGCAATTCTCGCTAAAGAACAGGAAATACTTTCAGGTGAGTGGGGATAGCGACTCGCCTGCTGGCTAATCGAAACCTAAACCTCCTCTCCCCTCCGACAGGCTCTGGAGCTGTACAACAAAAGCATATGCTACGCGGAGCCCAATTCGGAGCACCTGTCCATTGGCTATGCCAACCGATCGGCTGTCCTCTTCGAGTGGAAGCGCTACCGGGAGTGCCTGGCCAACATCGAGCTGGCACGGACGGCCAACTATCCGGCCAGGCTAAGTCACAAGCTGGACAAGCGGGAGCGGGACTGCCAGCAGCTGTTGGAGCAGCAGCCGCCCGACGTGGTGCCCTACGAGTTCAAGCTCAGCTTCGATCCGCATGCCCAGGTGCCGCATATAGCCGACTGCCTAGAGCTGCGCGAGTCCGCCGACGAGGGACGATTTGTGGTGACCAACCGGGATCTGGTCGTTGGCGATATGGTGGCCGTTGAGCAACCGTTTTGCTCCACACTACTTCCGCCCATGCGGTACATCCGCTGCGCCACCTGCAAGCGGGAGAATTACCTAACCCTCATACCCTGCGACAGTTGCTGCTCCGTGATGTTCTGCTCGGAGGAGTGCAAGCAGCAGGCTACGTCCACCTACCACCGCTTCGAGTGTCCGATTATTGACTTTCTGCACCGGATGTTCAACAAGATTCATGGCATTGCCCTGCGCACCACCCTGGCCGCCTTGGACCTCTTTCCCAGCATTGAGGAGCTGATGACGTTTTGCGATCAGCCACAAAATCAGCACAAGTGCGCCTTTGACCTGGACTATGGGCAGTTGACGCGGCAGGAGCAATATCGGGCCATACACGGTTTGGTGACCAACCAGCACTTGCGCTCCGTCTCCGATCTCTTCCAGCGCTCCGTTGTCTGTGCCGTGCTCAAACATTTTATTATCGAATACACGCCCCTCAAGGATTATTTGGGCGGCGAAGAGGGAATGAATTTCTTCACGGATCTACTCTTCCGGCATTTGCAGACATCGCCCTCGAATATGCATGGTATTGATCTGGTGGAGCAGGTCAACGAGACGAAGGATGACCAGACGCACTCCTCCGGAGCGTATGCCTTTCTCTCGATGCTCAACCATTCGTGTGCGCCGAATACGTTACGGATATACGAGGGCACCAAGGCGTATCTGTTCGTACTGCGGCCCATTAAGGCGGGAAATGTTCTCTATGACAACTACGGGTAAGTTAACTATGGCTTTAAAATATTTTAAAAATGTATATATTTGAGATATACTAACTCTCTCCTCCCTCCCACAGCGCCCACTTTGCCATCTTCAGCAAGCAGCAGCGACTGGACACGCTGTCCATGCAGTATCGCTTCGATTGCAAATGCGAGGGCTGCGAGCTGGACTACCCCACCTTTGGCCGCATGCCACACAAGGCGACAGTGCCATCGGTGACTGACGATACGGACATGAAGTCCCTCGGCGCCTACAACTATGACTTTGCGGCGAGCAACTATCGCAAGTATTGTGACTTTCTCACGCAATATGGTGCTGCCTATCCTTGCGAGCAGATCAGTTCGGCGGAGGAGTGCCTCAAGATGGCGCTTCATATCATGGTGGACGCAGTGCCGCTCAAGGCGAAGATGTAATCTAACCCAACAACACAACAACACGGACGAACTTTTCCTTTGCTAACTTTGACTGCAAGAATTGTATTACACAAACGCGAGGAGTAATTGATAAACTAAACACACTTGTTGTTGCCATAAGTCTGTAGCAGCGAGATGAGATGATGAGAGGATGAGAAGATCACGGATCACAACCGAAACTTTTATATTTGTAATTGTACATTTCGACCTTTGATTATACATATAATTTCTATTTCTATTTTTTAAACACGCACCCAGCCTCTCCTTTCCACACATTTTTCACACAAGTCTTAAGCTCAAAGTTCTTAACGTTGATTTATTTTTTGATCACAACAATGTCTTCGATGAAAACAAACACAAAAAACAAAAGAGAACCTACTATACAAAGCCCCAGGTCGTTTTTATAATTATTTTACAAAAGAAAGAAGAAAGAAAACCAACTCAAAACTGAACGAGAAATACAATATTTTGTAACTTAACGCTCTCCTAAGGCATTTTGCTGTACAAATCCAGCAGGTTCTGGTTCAGTGCCGATCCCCTGGACATGGCCATGGCCGCCTCACTGGAGGACGATGACGGACTCGTGGGCTGAAGCTGGACAAATTCGCAGCCCGTGGAAGAGGGTTCATCAAAGAGAACACTGCCAAAGGCCTGCTCGAACTGCTGCTGAAACTGACGGGCATTAATGGGCTGCAAATCCTCGCCACCGCTGGACGAATTGATGTTCAGTTGGGCCGCCAACTGATCCATGCTGTTGGGCTCCCTTTCACGCTGACGCTCTCGATCCCTCTGCTGCTGCTGCTCGGCACTCTTCACATAGATATTATCCCCTGCCGTTTGCACGAAATCCGGAAAGTATTCCTGATCCACCTCCTTGATGAAGCTTCCATCCATGGCCTGGAAGCCCAGGCGTATCAGCAGGGAGATTTTCGTGTTGAAGCACTGCAGCCAGGCTCTGTTCGTCTGGTAGATGGACAGCTGTGCCTCCTCCCCGCAGGCATTCCAAAAGTCCAGCAGCGTGTTCTTGGTAAAGTCAATCAGCATGTGTCGCCTGGCATCGGGATACAACCTGTTGACCGCGTCCAAGTGCCGGAAGGTGATCTCTAGCAGGTGATGCTGGTGGCGGGACACGAACAACTGCCACTTGTAGACCACGGTCATGAGGTTCCACAGTTTGGCCATCGATTGCTCGTCGAGTCTCATTAGCGAGCAGGTGGCGATATCGTTTAACATGAACTTGCAGTGCTCGGAGGTTAAGAGTTGGGCATTGTTGTGCTTGGAGCCGTTAAGCAGGGAGTCTATGAACTTGGGCTCCAACAAGACAGTGGTCACATCGTGGATAACTGGATGGGGAATTAGAGGAGGTTAAGATTTCTTAAAGTTATGAAAAAAACGTAAAAAACTAATTCCCTTGGAAATAGGCTCCCACACTAGGGACACGTAAACCTAAAGCAACTCCTCCAAGGAGGATTTATCCACCTTATACATATACTCCTATTTATAACTAAACCAGAAAGTATAATACACCCACCTTGAATCGACTTATCCTGTGCGATCTGCTGTGCCTTTAGCCGCTGATCGATCACGTAGAGCATCTCGCATCCCAGATTGACCAGGATAAAGACATTCGCCCGGGGATTCGACAGTTGGTGCGGACTGAACTTGGCCATTGTGTTCGGGGGCGACTTCAACTAACGGGTGGCGAATGCGAACTAAACATCTGAACCGAAGTCTTTGGGGAGCACGCAAGGCTTGAAACCCAAACCCGGTCTCTCGCACACACCGATAGCTTATTGGATTTTTGGTTTCCGTGCGGACTGCCGCCGGCCCCAGGTGTGCACGGTGAGAAAATTAAGGAACAGAGGTAAAATAATATTTTATAAGGAGTTTCGGTTTCAAATATTCAGAAAATTAGGTCTTTAAGTACTGACAGCTAATAGTTGATAATTTTTAAACAAATTTTACATCTTAAAAATTAAGAAATGTCTCAATTAATTGCCAAAATATAAATATGTAAAATATCTTAAGAAACACACAATTTCTCTCACTGTACTGCCGCATTTGACGGCTTTATGAGAGCCCCGGGCAACGTCTTTCAGTGCAAACAATAACAAAAGCCAGTCCACGGCGCCAGGACAGACGTCAACGTGTATAATTATGGCAAGCCAATTGGGGGGAAAGAAAGGACTCCCTGCCCTCCCTCCATTCTCCACCTGCATGGAACACTAAAATTTATTGATTTATAAATTTCCATTTCAAACGCTAGGCAATTATCATGGAAATTATGGCAGCAGGTTGAAAAGTTAAATCGTCACTGGCCCCTATATACGGCCATTAAGCCAATGTGGTGAGCTCCCACGAGCTGCAGACTTGTCTGCTAATGTGATGGCCGCTGGAGTCAAGTGTTGTTGTGGGTGGTGGTTGGCTCGGCTCACCGCGAATGTGAGGAAAACACCTGCAGCGAAGGTCGCCCGGAAAGGATGCCGGAAATTGTGTGATTCCCGCGCACCGCAAAGGTAACACGTTTTCCATACAGTTTTCAAAAGGGGGAAAGAAAAACTATTTTTAAAGTAGCAAGCAGAGGAGGAAAATGTTTTTAACAGCCACAAATTAAGTTTTTGAAGTTCATTAAAACAGAAAACTAGGCTAGAATTTAGATTTCGATTTTAATTAAAACAGAAAATAGAATGCTTAGAAAATAAGGCAGAAGTTTATCTTTATTATTTCAATATTCAATCTTTATATTTTCAATATTAGGCAAAAAAGCTTGATAATTTCATTTAAAAAGAACAAAGAACAGGCAAATGTATTTGAAATTAATAAATAATATAATATTAAACCCAATGAAGAGTTTATTTTTTAAATTATATTTATCGATATTACCGTTATTCGATTCAGCGTAGTCTACTTTAATGGGACCAGAAATGCCGGCTGTGGAAAATCGCATCTTTAAATTTAAAAACCAAAACATTTTCTTTCATTTTAAAACCAAAACATTTTATTTCATTTGAAAATAGTGAAATTCACAAGAGAATTGAAATGATTATAATAAGTTTTCAAGCATAATAAGGTTCATTCCTTTAGCATTTTTTCAGGAACAAATTATGTTTTCTCATTATTCAAATTTATAGCAAAGAAAATAACAAAAATCTCGTTTGATAAATTTATTTTACGACAATTAGGGAATAAACCTAAAATAGTAAAATAAGAAATATTAGACTAAGCATACAGTTTTCTAAAATATAAGGCAACTCACCTAATCATCGTCCAGCCCGAAACCAATAAAATCGCCATCACTGTCGTAGGGCCACGAAGGATGAACATAACCTCCTGCTGCTAAGCCCAGATTAAAATACTCATTATCATCATCATCATCATCGCCATCGTCGTCGTCGTCGTCGTCGTCGTCACTCAAGAAGCCCATATCGTACATGTCTTGTTCAAATTGGAACTCATCGTCTGTGTCCTCGTCCAAGTCCCAGTCATCCGGGTCGAAAGCGTAATCATCGAAATCTTCTGGATTGAATAAGTCATCATCGCGTTCGTGCGATCTCTTAATTTGGATAATATCCTTTGGAAACTTTTCTGAATTCTGCAAGATGAAGTGGGTTGTTTTTTAATATTTTTAAGATTTTAAATTTTAAAAAGAAAATGTAGTAAAATGCCACAAAATAAAATAGTTGTATTAAAAAAGCTAGAAATAATAAATAATTAATATTTAATAATTAGAAATAATAGTTTAACTAGTTTAATAATTAATACAAATATTTTATTATTTTGATTTTTTTTTTTAATTGTTTTTTAAATTATATAATCATTAACGTAATTAAATCTATTAATAATTAAAGGTATTTTTAAAATCATGAACCGAAACACCCTGTATAAAAAATACCACAACTTGTGGGTGAAAAAATACCAACTAAATGCATGTTGGTCAAGGTTGCGATGATGATAAAAACGACGCAACAGATGATCGGCGATGCGGTCACACTGACTTCCATGGTCCAAAGGGCGATTTAACAAAACACTTGACACTGACCAATCGCAGCAATTATGTGGAGAAACACGATCCTGAGCAGCAGCAGCAAGCTGGTGGCGGTAAGTGGCAGTGCTGCCACATCCTGCCGTCGCCTGGCAGTGGCCACTCCAAGGCTAGCAAGCAGCCAGCAGGAGAAGTCGAAGTCCACCGAGAATGAGTCGTTTATGGCCAACATATTCCGAGGATCGCTGGTGGCGAACCAAGTCTTTCCCTACCCGGACGTACTGACCACCGACCAGAAGGAGCTGACCAACAGTCTGGTGGATCCCTTCGAGCGCTTCTTCGCTGAGGTCAACGATGCCGCGCGAAACGATGCAAACTCCAAGCTGGACGACACCACAGCGGAAGCCCTGTGGGAGCTGGGTGCCTTTGGCATCCAAGTGCCATCGGATTACGGCGGCCTCGGCCTGAACAACACCCAGTACGGACGCCTCTGCACCATTGTGGGCGCCAACGATCTGGGACTGGGCATTACGATTGGTGCCCACCAGAGCATCGGCTTCAAGGGAATCCTGCTGTACGGAACGCCCGAACAGAAGCAGAAGTATCTGCCCAAGGTGTCCACCGAGAAGGTGTATGCGGCTTTTGCCCTCACAGAGCCCAGCTCCGGATCCGACGCAGGTTCTATTCGCTGTCGGGCCGTTAAGAGCGCCGACCAGAAACACTACGTGCTGAACGGTTCCAAAATCTGGATATCCAACGGCGGCATTGCCGAAATCATGACAGTCTTTGCCCAGACCGAGCAGGTGGATCCCAAGACGGGCGAGAAACGGGACAAGGTGACCGCCTTCATTGTAGAGCGATCCTTTGGAGGTGTGACCAATGGTCCACCCGAAAAGAAGATGGGCATCAAGTCATCCAACACGGCAGAGGTCTACTTTGAGGACGTCAAGATTCCTATCGAAAATGTGCTGGGCAAGGAGGGAGATGGCTTCAAGGTGGCCATGAACATCCTGAACAATGGTCGCTTCGGCATGGGAGCCACGCTGTCGGGAACCATGAAGAAGTGCATCGAACTGGCCACGGCTCATGCCAACAATCGCGTGCAATTCGGACACAAATTGAAGACGTACGGCTCTATCCAGGAGAAGCTGGCCCAAATGAGCATCCTTCAGTATGCCACCGAGTCGATGGCGTTCACCATCTCCCAGAACATGGATGCCGGCAGCAAGGACTATCATTTGGAGGCGGCGATATCCAAGATCTATGCTTCGGAATGCGCCTGGTATGTGTGCGACGAGGCCATCCAGATACTGGGCGGCATGGGCTACATGGTGGACACTGGACTGGAGAGAGTGCTGCGCGACCTGAGGATCTTCAGAATCTTCGAGGGCACCAACGACATTCTACGGCTGTTTATTGCCCTGACGGGCATCCAGTATGCCGGCTCGCATCTGAAGGAGCTGCAGCGCGCCTTCAAGAATCCCGCCGCCAATCTAGGCCTGATCTTTAAGGAGGCTTCAAAGCGGGCTGCCTCAACGGTGGGCCTGGGCGGCACAGACCTCAGTGGTCATGTAGTGGACGAACTTCAGCCATATGCCAAGAAAACGGCCCACTGCATTGACCTCTTTGGCCAGTCCGTGGAGGAGCTCTTGCTGCGCTACAACAAGAACATTGTGCACGAGCAGTACCTGCTCACCCGGCTGGCGAATGCCGCCATAGACATATACTCAATGGTCGTCACACAGTCCCGATCATCACGCGCCGTCAAGCTGAACCTGCCCACTGCCCAGCATGAGATTGACCTGACGAAGGCGCTGACCATTCAGGCATCGGAGCGGGTTATCAAGAACCTGCAGGCCGCCACCTCCAGAAGTAGTAAGGCTTTGAATGACAAAATGTCGGAGATAGCGCTAAATATACTGGAAAAGGATGGTGTAAACACAACTGGGGTCTTGGATCAAAATTAAAAAACGAATCCTTTATACGAATTTTACCTCGAGCCCTTTTTAATGTCTAGATTTTTGTCGCTAAATAAATAAATGCAAACGGAATGTTATTATTATAATTATTATTGCTTTGAAAATCTTGTCTAGCTTTCTCTAGTTTCAACGAACTTTGGGTTCAAAGTCCATTTGGATGTGTACGTCAACCCGAACCTTATCATTTATGATTGCCTCTCGACGAAATGAGTGATTAACCTTTGATTAAGGCTCTGCTCTTTGCTATGTTAAGGGGGGAACGGTTAAAAAAAATTTAAAACTTATGTTTGCACTTTACTTTAACCCCCTCAAGTTTCACTAAAAAGAGAAACTACTTGGTATGGGTGTCTATCGAGAGGAAAAAACGCATATCATAGCGATATAACTTTGATATATATAATAAATAAATAAAAAACACTACTTACAGCCTTCACTATTGCGGGCACGTTCCACAATTTGATGGGCAGCTTGCGCCGCATATCCTTGTTGGCGATCTCCTGCTGAACACACGACACGATGTCCAGCACAAGTTGTTCTCTTGATTTGTTAAAATCCTCCAGGTCGAGGCAGCTTAGCTTGGGGCATGCCCTGAAGATCTTTAGGATTGCCTGTTCGCTGAAGCATCCCGACTGGCGTACTGCTAATCGCTCCAGATTCTGGAGACCGTTGCTGCCGATGGCATCCGCTAGAGTCGCGTAGCTCTGAATTTGTGGCAGCTTGAGATAGCGTAATTCGCTCAATTTGGCAATGTTACAAAGCATTGGTTGGGTGACAATGTCGACTCCGAGGACCTCCAAGCGTTCCAGCTGCTTGGCTTTGTGTTCCGCTAGCTGCTCAAAGAGCTGTGCGCGCAGTCCTCGTTTTATTACGATCGACAGGTTCTTCAGGCTGGGAATCTGAGCCACAAACTCGTAATGTCTGTAACCATAGCCGGACATTCGCAAGGTCTCCAGAGCCAAGCAGCATTTCTCCTTGATCATTTGTTCGTAGATCTCAACCCCATTGGGATCTAAATTCCTCATGTTCAACTCTTTTAGGGCGTGGAAGGTCTTGAGGATCTTCATTAGGTAGCCGACCTCGAGGTACTTGCAATCGTTCAGCGTCAGCGACTCGATGGTGTTGGGCAACTTGGCTAGGGTTTCGCCTATAAAGGGATTGCCGCTTAGATCAAGCGTCTTCAGCTTGTGAAGATTTCGCAGCGCCAAGACACTTTGGTCATTGATATTCGACATGGGCAGATGCAGCGATTCCAGCTGGTTCATTTTGGCGAACACCTTCTGTATGTTGCGACCGGACCATGTGTTGCCGCCGAAAACGGCCATAGTCTTGAGATTACGGCAGTTGTTGGCCAGAAAGTCGCAGAGGCGCTCAGGGTGAGTCTTTGGCATCACGCCATATATCTTATCCACATAAGCACCGGACAGCCTGAAGAAATCTCGCATATCCCACACCGTCATATTTCCGAACTGGAACAAGTCTATGAACTTGTGAAGCCTGGCAGTGGCCATCTGGTAGACGGCCCTGAAGCGCAGGCAAGTCCTGGCAAAATGAATCTGATCTGGCAGTTGCAGATACATCAGTATGTGCTCCAGACAATGGTCGTTCAGGCTCATAACGGGTGGCGGCGGTGGTGGCTTCGTATTCGGCAAGTAGACCGGCAAGTGACGGGGCATTCCGTAGGCATCCGGCTGATGCCAGCTATCGCTGGCCTGCACATGGAACTTGATTCCGTTCAGGTGATGAATGCGGCTATGCAAGGCCCTGAGGAAGAAAGCGAGAGGCGTCAGGCTTGACCGGCTTACCAAAGCTCCTCCTCCACCCACGGCACTTACTTGGCAGCATCCGTTTTCTGGGCAAAGAACACGTAACCGGTTCGAGAGTATCGCCGTTCTTCGCCCGGCTCATTTCTCGGCTTGAAGATATGGAGGCGCAGGACATGACCGTACATGCCAAAGTGAACCTCCAAAGCAAACTTGTTTAGCTAAACGAATGAAAGATTGGATTATAGAACCGAACCAGCAGATGAACTGATGAGCAACTACCTTCGGCGGCAAGCCGAACATGTGGATCTTCTGCACTGGAATGTGGTCCTCAGTGTAGGCCACAGAGTCCTTGAAGTAATAGTTTTGTGGAGCTGCAAAACGGGTATATTAAGACAACGTCGCAATTCGCAACAAACGGTGCATGAGTGAGTGTTCTTTGCCAGACACTACTCGCCTTTTTAGTTCTCGCCAAACACAGTAGATACTTACATGGAATTACCACGCGCTGAGCCATTTTGGTTTAGTCTAACTGCTTGCTGCCTCATGCGTTGGAATTTCTAATGAAGTTTTAGTTTTTCGACTGAATTTGACACTTTATTTCTAGCGCCAAGGCAGCCCTTGCTTTAGAGTGACCAGCTCTGTTAAAACGGGAAAAACTTACAAATACATTTCTGGTATTAATCGTTGAAGAAGGAATGAGTATCGATATTTTTAAGTAATAGTTTTTTTTTTTTAATTAAATGATTTAAAAATTACAAAGTAAACTGCAACAATTTCAACTAAAAAGCTTTTTTTGTGTTATTAACATTAAGATATAAAAATTTAATATTTCTTTGTTAATATTTTAGCAGTTTCACTATATGCAAAAACTTTTTAAAATTACAAAAATAAATAAATTAAATTAAAATTATATAAATAAAAAATATATTATTATTATTTTATTGCCAATTTTGTTCTGTAAAAAATTGATTAAAATTACTACAAATCATATTCCAAAACTTTTCTTATAGGTAGAAATATATAAACTTTATTTTGGTTTTAAAACAAATTAAAAAAAAAAATAAAGAAAATTGTTAAATATATTGCATATTGGTTAATTTTACTAATTTGGTGATTTGGTTTTAAAATGTCGATTATTGTTAAAAACATAGATGTTTCTCTTAACGTTTTAAGCAAATAAATAACATTTTTATACCTTTGTGGGGTATTATAATTTCATTCAGAAGTTTGCAACGCAGTGAAGGAGACGTTTCCGACCCCATAAACCATATATATTCTTGATCAGCATCAACAGGGGAATCTTTCTAGACATGCCAGAAGGAAATCGAATTTTTTGCCATTTTTGCGAAATTTGATAAGGGGTTACATCATTAAAATTAGCAAATATGGCCAAAAATTTTGATTTCTTAAAATTTTAAATTTGGTATGCAGTTTTTTTAAATAAATAAAAACTAACACAAAAATACTTTCCGAATCGAAATTAATGCATTTTTGGCTTAGTTATGATATATTTTAATTGTTACCTGCAAGGGTATACAAACTTTGACTGGCCAAAAATAGCTTTCTTTCTTGTTCTAATTATAAAATAAGCAATTTTTTGGTTTCCCATTAAAAGCCGCTTTCCCAAAATCATTAGAAAACACACATACAATTCTCTTAACTTGAAAATTTTAATTTCGTTAAATATACTTTGGTGCTTTTGAAAAGCGTACAACGATTTCTAACTTCCATTTTCTTGTAGAAAAGTCCCTTAAACAATGATATAATTAAATATTTATATACAAAATGTACACGGTTGATTTACAATTAATATTTGCTAGTTGATTTCAGTTGATTTGCGGCATTGCTAAAGTCTTTTCCTTACAGAATCAAATTAGGCTAAAATCGCTGCCAGCAGCGAAAATATTTTTCTCTTTACAATTAAAATTAATAAAGCGAAATACATATATATACAATATATATTATATAGAGTAGTGTATATAGTTTAAGTAAGGTATCAATCTCTGGAGCTGTCTAGGTTCTCTCATGGTGAGCGCTTGCGGTTGGCCGTGGGTCATGACAGGATCCAGGAGTGTATAATACCTGCGCAATGAGAAAAGGAAGTAAAGTGTTATAAAGGAAACATAAATCAAAAATAAATCCCAGCTCATACTCACGATTTTCGCCTGGCGAGAGGGTTATATGTATGTCCTCACGACTCAGAACGGGCGCTGAAAAAAGTCAACAGTTTGAACAAAAAATATAAATAATAGCAGCTAAGCCTTGTTAAAATATTTAAATAACGTTCTTTATTCATTTACTCTTTTATAGGTGGCTATAAATAATAATAAACTTAAGGCTAGTGGTTACAGTTAGTGTCTAAATTAAGTGCCATTAACATACATAACATAAATCAAAAAGGAAATAATTTAAAACAGGTCTGCGCTTAAGCAATTCGTTGACGTCCTTTCGCTTTCGTTTTAGTGTCTTTCGGGGCTGAGCCATGCAGTGGAGCTAAAGCACCTGCCGCCAGGTAAATTTAAATGCTATCACAGTTTCAAAGTCGGAACATGCACTGAGCGGGAACAGTCGGAGCAGGAGGGAGGGAAGCGAGCAGCGAGCGAGCACATTATGAGAACTTTGTGATGGGTTACGTATGCAGTGCGTAGGGCTGCTGGGGCGGCTGCTGCTGCTGCTGCTGATCTCCAGTCCCGCCGCCAGCACCCGCAGCAGAAGCGGGGGGTACAAAGTGTAGCATACCCGGCTGAATCCTCACGTAATCACAGGCCTCGCAAATATTCAATTGCGGATGGTTGCGGAATGTACACATGTTGCAGGCCCACGAGTCCAGTGTCTCCTCCGCCTCGGCATCGGAGTCCGACTGGAATTCCTCCTCCTCGGTGACCGCACGCTGCTGCAGCTGCTGTTGCTGCTGCAGTATCTGCTGCTGCTGCTGTTGCACCTGCAACTGCTGCAGTTGCTGCTGTCGCTGTTGATGCAAATATTGCTGGAACTGATAGTATTGGGCATAAGTTGGGGGCGCCTCCTGCTGCAGCTGCTGCTGGGGCGTCAAGCAGGCTGAGGTCGGCGCACTGCTGTGCTGCTGATGCTGGCCAAAGTCTGGTGTGGGCTGCGCGGTAGTGGGAACTGCTGGCACCGAGTGCAGGCGCAGCGAATTGGGCGGCGCCTGGGTTCGACCGCCTGGACACTGACGTGGCGGCGGCTGTTGTTGCTGGTGTTGGCTGATGGGTGCCGAGTTCTGGCGATTCATGGAATTGGGTGCGGAGCCAGAGCCCGAGTCATTGGCCTGGGGTTCTGTGGGGAAGATAACGAAGCCTTAGTTTCGATTCCTTAAAAAGTTTGCTTGGTGAGATTTGTTGCTTACCATTTATACGGTTCAGCAGCTGATTGAGCTGCTGACAGTCCTCAGCCAGTTGCTTGATATCTCTATCCAGTCTTTCAGATTCGCCAACGGGCACCGGCTCCGTGAGGATATTGATCTCCTGCTCCAGCACGAGCAGACGCTTCTTGTTGTCCCTCAAAGCGTTGGCCAACTTGTCGCGACGCTGTTTCTGACGCACAATGGTGGCGGCATGGGCTAAAGAATGAAAAATATACATAATAAAGGGAATTTAATTAATTAATTCGGAAAAACTTGAAAATATTTATTATACAGAAAATTTTTGAAAGTTTGGTATATCGAAAATTTATTATTTATATCGAAAATTAAAGTACAAAAATCGCATTTACCATAAAATATCAATATAAGAAGGAAAATGGTTTGAAATAACTTTCAGAATATCGATTAATCGCATTTGATGTTAAATTATCGACCAGTCTTCGCTTTAAATATCGATACAGCAACAATTTATTGATTCTATTTTGCCATCCTCATCTTAAAATGCCTTGGCAACAAGTTGGCAAGATATTTTCAATTCCCAATTTCCAAATTCCATTTCCAATTCCAAATATTTTCCCCCCGCAGCTAGATTTATATATTTTTACTGTCTAATACCTCACATTTTATTACTCTGTTTTGCTGCTAAAAATAATCAAGCAATTCCTGCGGCCAGAGGCAACTTATATTTAAATAGATAAATTTAGTGAAAATGCGCAAGCAAAAATCAATCTAATAATAATTTATTCCTACGAAAAAATAAGGTACGAAATAAGAATAAAAATAAATACAAACAAGAGTCTGTGCGATGCATTTGCCGCGGTGTTTTGATTTTGAATATTTTTAGACGCTTGATAGATTTTCCAAACGGAAATAGCTAGCAACAAAAACAACAGGGCAGTGGGCCAAGGGATCTGTGATCTGGGCGATCCAAGAGATATTTCTGCCAGATTCGCACATCATTATGCTGTCTTAATTGATCTTTTAATTCGCTTGTGAGCAGCTTAAGAGCTGCCGAATTCCATGAACGACATTTTAAGTGCTTTTCTCGTGATCGCGTCGCGTGATGATTAAATGTCAAAGTGTAAGTGCCTGACTTTTGGGCCCACGCTGCGTATACTTAATACTTTGGTGGCAATCAATTGGCAGAGATTTTCCTCGCCTCTCTCACTCTCTCTCTCTCTCTCTTCTGGCTTTTCTCCCACACATTTCGCCATGAACTTGAACGTCTCGCAGAGAAAGAGCGGTCAAAGCAAGGCGTATAAATAAAATAAAAAAAAGAGAAAACAAGAGAGCAAATTCTAGATAGCGGTGGCGGAAAAGCGACAGGGAAAATGGGTGAAAAACATGGCCAAAGTGAGAAGCCAGACAAAAGACATTTCAATCTATAAATCCACCGAAAGCGTGGGCGTAGCAATACACGTACATATATAAATATATAGACAACATTTGCAAAAAGGGCAATTCAAAGTGCAACAAAGTAGAAAATTATGCTAACTAATTGGAGGTCTATAAATATTTTAGATTTATTATCTTTAATGAAGCTTGTAAATCCCCTTAAATATCTTTAATCCATTTAGAAAAAGCCTGTTAAAAGCCTTAGTACATTTCTCTTTGTTAAGTTCTCTTGGCTTTCACAATATTGTGAAATTTTACTTTAAAACACTAATTAAGTTACTGTTTACTATTTGTAATACTTGTTTGGTATATTAGAAAACCACTTCTTGCTTTTAGATCTAAGTAAATTCTTTGGTAATTATAAATATGACGTAAAATCATCCCACAATTCACATCATCAGTTTGCTTTTGCCATTCCATAATCATTCTCTATATCTCTATGCAATACTGATAACCGAACGAGTCTCTTCTCTGTATTTCATGACGTCAATCTGGCTTACTTTCATCTATTATAATGTGTTTATATAGCTGATCACTATTCCCAGGGGGGGATACCCTTGGCAGTATTGTCTCCTGGCATGTGTTCCATGTTAAAGTATCATAAGACAGCACAATGTTCGCTCGTTTCACTCTAATTCTATTTTGGGGCGTAATTCGATTTCCTTATCAAGTGTAAACAATATTGGGCGAGAACCTGCGAACCTGATAAGCGAACTAACAACTACGACGTCGTCTGGCTGGTTCGATAAGCTTTGGAGCTTCGGAAGCACAATAATAACAAGAATGTGGAGAGTACAAAAAGGGAAATGGAAGAAGATGGAAATACCCTTCTGATACTAGAGTATATTTTAATTATTATTATTAAGGAATTAAAGAAATAGCTAAGTAATAAATTAAGCAGTCTACAGAAATTCTTAAAGCAGGAAGGAGTAATATTCGAAACTGGCTCCACATTAAAAAGATTAAAAATTAAAATAAATATATTAGATATTTAAAATTTATTTTCCTTATATTAGAGTTTGCTATATTTTTGATAAAAATATTAATATCGTGACTTTATTCCACTATATATAATCCAAGAAATGTCATGGCAAACCTCTTTCCTAAATCCCTATACCTTCTTCTAGAGTATTTCAATAGAAAAGTGTCATAAAAATGGCACTTGCCCAGCGCACACGTGCCCCTAAAGACCAGAGATTCCTACTCTATATATATATACACAGCTAAACCCCCAATGAACTCACCTTCACGATCGCACTCCTCCAGCACTCCGACGTACAGAGGCATTGTTGGACTGCTGTCGACACTGCTGCTCCCGTTGCCATTGTTGTTGTCGGTAACCACATGGTTGTTGCTGTAATTGGAGGCCACTATGTGATTCTGGGCCTGTGTGGGATACGGGAACACATCCATCTGCATCTCGTCGCCGTGGCCATCGGTTGCCAGCACTGCGGACGTGGCGGCTGACGGCGGCGGTTGATTCGTCGGTGCAGCAGGTGTCGCCGCCGACTCACAGCCCACTCCGGTGTAGGGAACCCGGGGACGAAAGCAACCCGCACTAAAGACACTGCCCTCTTCCGTCACCGTCAGCTGGAAATTTTTGTGAGTTCCGCGACGCGCGTCAAAACTAACACTGGAGTAGGTTATCCCACTGCCCTGGCCACTGGGCGCCGGACCGGCAGTGATGTCGATGGCCGACTGTGCTGGTCCTGTCGTTGGCTGGCGCAGGGTGAGATTGAGCGAGGTGAAGCTCTTACGTCCGCCAGCACCTGCTACCGGCGACGCTGCTGAGCTGGGTGAGGGTAGCGGCGGCGTGGCTGTCGTTGGCGGTGTCGTCGTTGTCGTCACACCACTGCTGCTACTGAGGAAATCGCGCGCGTACGGCGGCTCTGGCTGGAGCGTAATGACTGAACGATGTCGCACTGGAGAGGGTTGTTGTGGTTGTAGCTGTGGCTGTGGCTGAGCCGTGGCTATCGCCGCTCCCGTAGCAGCTGTATTCGCCGCCGACGTCGTTGGTGACGATAAGAAGACGGCCGCGTTGAGAGAGAGCTCCGACTCGCTGGAGCTCATGGGACTCGTGAGACAGGAGGAATCGTTGGAGAAGCTGCCAGGCTTGGGATTGGGATTTGGCTTGGGCGGCGGCGGCAAAGGTGGTGCTCGGCGCAGCGGCTTACTCAGCGACGTGGGCGTCAGCTGTTGGGGTTGCTGATCCCTTTGCTGGCGCTGTTGTCGCTGCTGGATCTTCTGCTGCAGCTGCGTGCTGATTTGCCGCTGCAGGTTGAGGGTGGTGGGTCGTGGCCTGGGCTGTAGATTGGCCTGGGAGCTCGGACTGCCGGGACCGATGCCATTGCTCTGGCTAAACTCTGGCTGTGGTGGGGCTGCCCGTGATGGCTTCAGCGGCGTCGGAGGCTTGGCTGGCCTAATCTGTTGCTGCTGCTGCTGTTGCTGTTGCAACACCTTGGCCGGATAGCTTTGCACTGGGATGGGGTGCAGGGCTAACTCCTTCCTCAACATCTGGATGCAATTCTCGCGCTGATGGCAATTCTCATTGACGCATTGCGTCACTATGGCATCGGGTATCGTTGGGAACTCCTGCTTCATCTCATGGAAGAGGTGCATAATACTAATGTTGGTGCAGTGGCAGCTCAGCTTGGCCTTGCCGGCGGCGGCAGCAGTGGCTTCCTGTGGCTCCAGCAGCTCCAGCTGCTCATTGCTTCCACAGCGACTGCCGCCGGGACTGTTGGGATTTGGATTTTGATTCGGATTGGGATTTATGCTGGGGCTACAGTTGTGCTGGGCCTGGTTGTGCTTTTGGTTTTGTTGGTTCTTTCGCTGAAAGTGCTGGTTAATTGCCTCGGTTAGGTGGTTCCCCTGGCCGTTCGATTGCTTGACGATCCCATTCACATGGTGGTGGGTGTTGGATCCGGGCGGCATTGGTGGTGTGGCCGCCATTTTAGGCCATCATTTGTCACAGCTGGAGACCTGTGGAAATTATAAGAGAAATATTCACAGTCAGTCAGGTGTTTTTTTTTTGGCACTAAACAAATCGATTATTCCATTGCCCGATTTAGAACATTAACTAAGCGGGTTAAGAGCCCTCTTGGTTTATTTTTTTATATTTTTTTAAATAATAAAAAAGCTGGGAAATAATAAGCAAAGAGATCTTTCGCGAAATGACATGGGATATTTAAAAATATTTATGACACAACTTCCCCGCTGTGCCATATTGTCTATATCTCGACGGTGACGGCAAATCCGAATCGCGGGGCCATTGTCAAGGATGCTAGAGATAAATAATCCGTTCCGCCCCGCCTACTGTTGTTTATCGATGGTTAGTTAGTGTTTAATATAGATAAGCAATTGGACTTTTAAATAAGTATTTATCCCCATTCTAAACTTACATTTTTCTACCAAAGTTGATAAGGGATTTAAAATAAATTTTGTTTAAAATGAATATTATTTATGTTTGGTTTTCGAGGAAGTAAATTTTCTAATCACAAAATGTACACTGGATTTCTTAGTAATTATTTTTAATTAGCTTTTGCTTTAATTTTCTGAAGTTTAATAATCACTTTTGCCACTTTTCTCCTCTAGAGAATTCTTTTCATGTTTATTTCATATTTTGCCAGCTTTCTTTTTAGTTGCTTTTTAAACACTAAAGAATAATTGTTTTAAATTCCTTTTTGATTTCTTTTGTTTAATCATGAAAATCACACGCAGTTCTCGCGCACAGCGATTTATTCTAGAAGTATTATTTCGATTTCGTTCGGGTTTCTCGGATCGAACGCGTTTGAACGCTTTAAATGCCTGCGAAGAACTGACAAAACACAAATATCAGAAAGGCCTAAGAATCTTCACGGAATATACAAACGAATTCTTCTCTCTAGAAGAAATGTTTGTGAGAGCCAGAGAGCGTAAACAACAAAATAATAATCTCGAAACAAGAAAAATATATTGAAATTCGAACTTAAGAGGCGAAATGGAATTGTTTTTCACACCGAAACATTAACATTAACAAATAATTAATTACTTTGTGTGCTGGTGGTGGTGGTATCGTGATCACATTAAGTATACGTACATTACACATACGCAGGGTAGGTAGGTTAGGAAAAAGAAGGTGTAACCAAATAAAAGAGCCCGTAACGAATCAATTAAATCATTCAATATTTTTGCCACACCAATACCAATATGTAAAAGAAATTTGCGCTCTTTCTTTCCTTTCCTTTTTGTTTTTTTGCTCTCTTGTATAAAAATAAATTTTTGTGTGGGTGTTTCCCACACACACACACACACACACACACACAACACACACACAGCCACATCCACGAAAATTGAATGAAATATTTGAAACGAAACAAAAAAAAAAAAAAAAAAAGAAAAACAAGAAAAAAACTACCTCGTACATATAGAAAACAAAAGCGAGAAATAAAAGCTACAAAAATTAATGATATGTTGAGGTGAAAGAGTTGAAGACGAGGGAAATTAATAAAAAAGAATACGAAATGGAAATGCGAAAGCCCATCAAGGGGGATAAACATTTAATGGCTGTCCATCAGCGTCCAAATGAAAATCGCTTAAATTAGCCAATGGCTTAGCCAAGTATTAGAACCGCCCTCGCAGCTCAGCGACAAAATAAACAAGTAAGAAAGGTAAGAGGGAGTGGACTCGACTTTGAGATACCTGGTAAGCATAAAATTAGTCTTATAAATCTAAAGATTTGCATCCAATATTACTGAAATTTACTGAAATTCAAGGCTTACGATAAAAAATAACGGATATCTCTAGGTCTTTGGTCTCTCAGAATTGTTTTCTCTTTCTAAATAGAATCGCCTGGTGATACTAATCAAGAACATGTACTTTAATAGAGTCAAAGAAGCCTTCGGTAAGTTAAAATACCTCTTCACTATATGGTATAAAAAATATAATAAAAACAAATAATAAGCCCAGACCAAATCATGTCACAAATGTGATAAAAGAAAAAAAAACATAACCAATGGTATATAATTCATTTAAATTATAGCCCGATGGCGCCTTTAAAATTGGCTTGCAAAACATAAATAATAAATTATAAATTTACATATATATCTCTGCTGCTCTGCTCGCTGTTCCAGTCCCCATTTCGTTGTTTATTTTAAAGTATTTTTTTTTTTTGTTGGCGATGATAACAACAGACATTTTCGAGTTTCCCGGGGATATTAAGAAGCCATTAAAGATAAACCTCAGACCAGAGAATTATGAAAACAATTCCTCTGTTCCATAAAATTCCACCATTATTCTGCGGTGTACTTATAGGCGGGATGGATGAGCTTGTATGGGAAACACGTAAATTGCGATCTGATATTTGAAAATATTTAGCGTATAAATATAAACAAATTCTCCTTTTTTTTTTGGTAGGAATTTCTTGAGGAAAAGAGATCTAACTGGGGGTGTGATGGGGAAGGCAATGAAAATTCATTTTCTGTGCTCTTTCGATTGCTACGTTTTGTTTGCCAGCCTCTCGTCTGCCTTTCTTTCTTCTTTTTTTTTATTCCACCAACCTTCCCCTTTTCTCCCACATTTTCCTTTTTTCTTTATAGCGGGTGGCAGACAAACAACAACAATTATACAGGGGCGATCGACTGCAGACGTAAACGACCTTCACAATTAGCCAGATAGATATATAGATATATAGAGAGATATGTATATGCAGGGCAGATAGAAGAGATACACTCATACCGAGACGCAGCACAGAATGCACAAGCCAGAAAATCGGAAATCGACGTCAAATATTTTTTCGCAGCCTTTAGTATATATACGAAATTGAGAGTACTTCGTATGTGGAATGATAATGCGATAGATATGGCTACAATAATGCTTAGATACGTAGCTGTGCGTAGCTGGTATTTCAGAGCAAAGTGATAAACGGAAATCCTAAGCCAAGTTAATTCCCATTAAATTTCCCACTTTTGTCAAATTTTAGCTATTAAGGTTTATTATTATTGCCTCGTTAATATACCTTTGCAAAATAATTGCTAAAGTTAAAAAAAAATAAATAAAAAAAGAAGGAAAAAATTAAAAAATTTATGCGTGGTTGGACAGCAAAAGAGGTAGATATAATATGTAAACAATGCTTTAAAGTTTAAACCAAAGCCCAAGGCTTCTAAGGCCGGCGCTGTATAAGTTTTGCTTTTGTTTTTTATTTATTTTATAATTAATTAAAATACACTGCCAGGTATAATAATTAATTATTATTTTTATCATGTTTACCATCGGCTTCATCAGTGGACTTTGGTTTCTTTTAAACATTTTCTCAATCAGAATCTTTATATTTTCGCAACGGACTGTTTTTTGGACAATTTACTTATATTCCACAGGTAAAAAGATCATTTGTCTTCTTCTAAATATCGTATTTTATTTTTTGTGTGTTTCTCGAGGACACGCAAAACAAACATAAAACCTGCTAAGAGCCATAATAACAACAGAAATAAATAAATAAAAGCAATGAGAACAAAAAAAAAAAAAACAAGTTCGCACTGTGTGCCAAAAACACACAAATTGAAAAACAAAAAAACCCAAAAAAAGTTTACAAAGTCATTAAAATTATGGCAGCACACACACACAATATTGTTTAGGTATCATGGATTGCGAGGTAGTGAAAATTCGATGGGTGGTGGCTACAACGGGAAAACTCTTGTAATTAGTTAAGGCAAAATTTCCATTCATTAAAATGCCTTTTGAAATTGAACGGTGAGGGGGGTAGTGTAGGTATGCATATGAGGGCGTGTGTTCTTTGTCCGATTTACATGAGAATCTGTCTTATGGGATTTTCCAATGATTACATTTAGATTTACCCGAGATCTTTAGAGAAATGACAACTGAGAACTTGAAACTTTAATAAGGCTAGGAATTGAATGCTAAATAATTTAATAGATAATAAATAAATTCTTAAACTTTAAACTTGGATATATAAACTGATAATTATGGAGATACATTTAAGATACCTAACTTAAAGTGTGTCTTAGCATTCAAAAAACCTCTATAAAAGGTTCCCAATTTTCGTTAAAAGCTGGAACCAACTAGAATTTCCCACATTAAATCAGTTTTTTGATTAAAATCCAAACTAGTTATATTTAGTTTTCTTCTTTTTTGATTTGCAAGCAAACAAACACAAAGCCCTCTATAATCCCTCTGTGTCTATCAAACTACTAAACCAATCAAATCTTCGCCAGACCAGAAGGCTTAACCATTCAGTCAGTTCCATGGGTTTGGTTTTTAAGGAACCCCGAAGACGTGGAGGTATCGATGCAGAGCATATTGACCGGAAATCTCGCCTGTCTGGCGTGTCAAGAAATAAATATATATATAAATAACGAAAAAATTACCAAAAATATTTCGTTGTACGAAAATAAATTGCAAAAGGAACTAGACATACGTACTAGTACTTCCCGCACCTTCAACTTGGATTCGGAACACAAAACATATGGACAAAAAAAAAAATAATACGAGATAACAGAACGAAGAAGATGTAGTAAATGACATGGAAAACAACTTTCACTGAGAGACTGCGACTCGGGACTGGGGACTGGGGAAATGATCAGAAAACAACAACGAAAAGTATGTGGAATTGTGAAAATTATAAATCAAATGCAAAGACATGAAATGAAATGGAAGCGAGTAGAACACACAAGCACACAAAATACCATAAGACGAAAAATGGAACGAAAATAATTTTATTTTGTATTTCGGTGCCGCGCCGTTGTTGCTGTTGCTTTCCTTTTGCTTTTCTTGCCTCGCCAATAATTTGAAGAGGCGTTTTGCGGAATTTTCTGCAGACGTCAGGCCTTGACGTCATTGGCGTCTTCTTCGTGAATTGGAAATGGGCATGGGAATCGGATTCGGAATCGCGATCGCTATCGGCATTCTGCCTGGAAGGGGTTTGGTAGGTAGGCTTGGAATCCTTTCGCTCCTGTCCCCCAAAATGACCATGCAAGCCCCTGCATTAATTTATTTATTTATTTACACACGCCTGGGGTGCCTTTTTTCTTTGCTTTCAAAAATGTGCAAATAATCAAAGCGGAGTTATTTTTAGGCTATGTCCAAATCCCAACAGGTGTGGCGACGACGGCGGCGGTGGGGCCATGAGGGGGAAGCCTTATCGCCAACGTTTTGTGTCTCCTCCTCGCAACAGGGGACGACACACACACAGACTATAGTCCATATATTTTATACGACCCCTTCCCAAAAAAAATTGAACACAATTCCATGCAGCACCGACATGGCGATAAGATAGATTTTAAATTCATGGGAAAGTTTTCATTGAGGGCAGAGTAACGTCTACAGTACGAACACAGGAGTATATCAGCCTTATGGGATATTAAATTGAATAAATGTATATATTGTAGTATTTCCTGTTACTTTATTATAACCATTTATAAAGAAAACAATAATCTAAAATGTTTTGAATTTATAATTTTTCTTACTAATCAGATCCATCAGATCAAGATTAGACAGAACGATGATTTTCAAATATTGTTATCTTAGGAATAAGAATATTGTTATTATAGGAACAAGGCGGTTTCGATGCAATCTTAGAGATACTAATACGCTTTTAGTGAAACCTTAAAGATACTACATTCAAGAATCTCTCGATTAAAGCCAAAATTAGAAAGGGAATTTAGCCAAGCTTTAAAAAACGAGATAATATAAACAAATTTAAATCACAATCTATCAAAGACTGATCCAAAAAATTCTCGTAAAAAACAAAGCTTTCGTAAATAAATGAGATGGAAATACTGAGATGATATTGTTGATTCCCTCAGACTCACATGCCTTCAGATGTGTGTATTGGTGGGAGCAACTTTGCAAATGCCGGGAAATTCCCGCAATTACAACAAAAAGAGTCGCATAAACAAAGGCACAAAGCGGAACAGAAGCAAAAATAATAACAACACAGCGATCAGTACTTAAGGCAGAACAGCAGCACAAGTGCAAAAAATTTTGTGAACTTGTTTCCTTAATACAAAAACTAAACCGAAGCAAAAACAATGACCGCTTATTGTTATTGATAGCGGTATGTATGTTTGTATGTATAAAAATCTAAAAGCACACACATAGAAAATCAATATTTGCACTTTGCGATTAGAAATGCGAAGGTAGACGGGCAGTGGGTGGGTGGCGTGAACGGGGGAGTGAGACGGGGATGTACCCAAACGTTTCGTTTACATATTTCCAAAAAGAATTAAGGCCATTTCAACGGAGTTTTTGCTGTTATCAACACAGGCGGAAATACGTACGTTCTACGAACATACATAGATACGTAGTTTACGTACCATCCGCATACAGTTACGTGCACTCACACATGCACCCGAACGGAGCGAAGTGAGCGTGCGAAAGGGACACGTAGATCGGCGAGTGGCTGTGTTAACGGCACAAGATAAAAACCAGCTACGGCCAGTGTGGGAGCGAGAGAGAGGGACAACGAGCGCGCGAGAGTGCGAGCATGAGAGCGCATAAAAACAGGTGACATTGGCAGCGGCACTACGCAATAGTAGATAAAAAAACGCACAGCAGAGACTGATTTGAAAAGTAAAATGTTGGGAAACTTTGGAGAGCCCCTCCCACCGCCCTACCCCTCATCAAAAACGCATTCACAACTTGTTTCCATTGGTGTAAATGTGTTTATTTATTGCTTTTATTTTTGCACTATCTCAAAGTGATCTATGCGAAGCATGTGTGTGTGTTGTTTTTCACAATTTTGTTATTTGCATAGAGCAGCCACCCACCCACACGAGTGCAGTTTGCAGGTGTGTGTGTCAGTAGGGGAAACAAAAATCTGAAATCTGCAGAATTTGCATCCTCTTTCTTGTCTCTTTTACTCACCGAAATATTTAAAACTCCGCGCACGTACGCTGTTATCCGTAGGTGTTGTCCCGCTTCTTCCCTTTGTTTGTTTTCTGGCATTCAATATTGTGATTTCAATATTTTGTTGCTTTCACTCTGTCGCTCGTTCTTTGCACTTTTTTGGCTCGTTTTTTCCCTTTGTTTCGCTTTCGATTTGCCTTTCTCGCGCACTCAACTTCCACGCACTGTCCAGCGGAGAGTTTGGCTTAGTTTCAATTAATTAATTATTTTATTTGTCGCACTAAAACTTATTAATTAACGTATTTTTCACGTCGTTCTTTCTCGCGATCACAAAACAGTGTGGCCAGCGCTGCCGAGACGCAATAAACCAAACGGATCGGCGAAAATGTACTAAAATATTCCACGTCTTCACTTGAAAAATATTTGCGGTATATATTAGTAGTATTGTAGTAGTGTCTTAATTATAATTGGCTGAGTACTAAAAAAAAATGTGTATTTATTTGTTCATTCTTTGCTTTTGCATGCGCCAGAAATTTGCAAATCAAATTTCAATTTGAAAATGAATTAGTATTTTTAAAGCTGTGGTATTTTGTTAAAATGGCGTATTTGACAGTGTTGCCCAACGAGCCACTTGTGTAGTGCTGCAAACCGTCCCAGTGACGTTTGATTTCTGAATTGTTATTCGAAATTCTTTTCAACCATTTTTAATAAAAGAGCATTAAGCCCCTAAAATGAAGACCACACCCAAGAAAAAGGAGATGTCCCTCCGCCTGCGGGAGTCGCGCCGCGAAGAACACAAGCCGGAGACCAGCCAGCAGCAGCAGGCAGATGACGATGTAGAATCGGACCTGCCCATCCGAGGACGTCCCTCGAAGAAGCTGCTTCTCCAGCAGCAACAGCAGCGTCGCCAGTACCAGGTGAAGTTGGAGCCGGATCTCAAGACAGTGGCAGCTGGAGCCGCATCCACTTCTGGGGCTGGCACCTCAGGAACTCGCATCAAGGCCAGACGCACGCTGTACAAGAAGTCGGCGAACAACGGTGCTGCCTCCGTGAAGGGTGCCGGTGAATCCTATGTGATGCGACTGTTCGAGCGCAGCCTGGACCTCTCCAAGTACGAGGAGAACACGCCGCTGTATCCCATTTGCCGCGCCTGGATGGCCAACCAGCCACGTAATCCCGCCGTGGCCGCTTTCAACACCGATGGCTCTCTACAGATACCAAAGCGCGAGGACAACGGTGAGGAGATCCTTGCCAAACTGCGCAGCGGTGAAATCAAGGTGCTCACCCAATTGCCAGCGCCAAGACGCACGGATCTGCCCATCATTCCCCCGCGTCTGGAGTTCGCCAAGGAGGACAAGCGTCTCCAGAACGCCAGTCACTCCGATCTACTGTCGGCCAACATGGCTCGCTGGAAGAAGGTGCGCGCCCACTGGCTGAAGCATGACAAGAAGTACCAGCACGAGCGTTATGCGATTATTGACCAGATAATGGCAGAGGTCTGCAAGAGCAACTCAAACTAGGATCAGTAAAATGGATCAGGGCAAGGAGTAGATAAGACGATGTATGAGCAGGAGTATAACTTAAGAAATGTCTTAAATAAATATGTAATTACTTTAAATGCCTTAAATATAGGTTTGCATTTGTTTTATAATCTGGCAGACTTTTTATATTTACTTCATTAGTTTTAATCAGAAGTGTGCAACGCAGTAAGGGAGTCATTTCCGACCTAAATGATGATATAAACATTTAAATTTGAATACCCCTTTTGAGGGTGTTATATTTTCAGTTCGATTTTAGTTTATTATTATCTCCGTTAGATTTTCTTTTTATTTAACCAAAATGGATCGAATCCCAATGCTCCAATTGCAAACTGCAAGGGTTTTGAAACCTCGGCTATTAATAGAACAATTTTGAAAACAGTAAATATATACATACATATTTTCCCAGGAATTTAGATAACTTAGTCTCAAGAAATCTCCCCAGCATCATTGGTAGTTTAAAAAAATTAACCCAAAAGACACATAAGCAAAAATAAATAATAATATAACCATTTGAAACACCTTTTTTGTTATCATTGACTTGAATAAATGTTTATTTTGTATTTGTAGAATATGCGTTACCCATTGCGGTTAAATTAGTTCTAAGTGCAGAGCTTGGTTTTTGAGTTTTTTTTTTTTTGTTTTTGTTCTTCCTTATATTTTCCTCTCTTCTCTGGGTTCGGCAAATGCTGCTGGATTGTTCTGGTTCCGGTGTTTGGTGTTCTTGCTTCGGCTCAGCGGGCGTGCGCCTGTCCGTGCGTCCGTTGGTATACACAGCCACAGGCGTACGCACATATCTCCACCGGGAGGAGGCGCTTACTCGACCTTGAGAAGCTCCACATCGAAGGTGAGGGTGGAGTTGGGCGGGATGACGCCGGGATGGCCACGGCTACCGTAGGCATAGTCCGGCGAGCAGACCAGTTTGGCGCGCTGTCCGACGCTCAATTGGGCGACACCCTCGTCCCAGCCGCGGATGACCTCGCCCTTGCCGATGGTGAACTTAAAGGGCTTGTTGCGGTCGCGCGACGAATCGAACTGTGAACAAGAAAACATCAATTATTAGCTGGAAGTCTCATGAACACACAAGGATCCTTACCTTGGTGCCATCATCCAGGGTGCCGGTGTAGTGGACTGTAACCTTTTGCCCATTCTTCGGGAAGGTGCTGCCTGCGGGCGTACATGGAATACAAAAATGGATGTGTGTGAGCGAGACGACCATAGTGTCTACGGTAATTTTCCGACTTTTGCAGCGGCACTCTATATGCACTTCTAAGGTTAAGTTTGCCGGTGTTTTTCGGGCATTTCCCGTGAAAAACCATCAATCGGCGGGTACTTACCATCTCCGGGAGCAATTGGAACAACTTGTACGCCCATTTCGAATAGTTTTTTACTGGCAAAATACCGAGCGGAAGAAAAAGCACGTTGCATTCGTCGCGTTGAAAATATTAGAGTGCCTGTTTCTTGTTAAGAAGTATATACCTATATCTAGTATATTTGAAAATGGGATAAGCATATAAAGATTGCAACTAGCTATTAGCCTTAAAAATACCTTATTTTAATATAAATCTAGCTTATTCTAAAAATAATTTCTTTCGTGAATTTATTTATTTCAAAAGAAAAATCATTATTTACTTTACGTGTGCATACCACTCCTTTTTTATATTTAAAAAATTATTTTAATAAAACAAAAATTGAAAATACAAAATATATTCTTTTACTTTTTCGCACTACGGTCACACTGCAGCGATTTCTTTAAAAACATTTACCAAACTTTTTCTGCTTTCCTTAAATTAAAGCAGTTTTCTGTTTCCAAAGTGAACAAAAAGGAGAAAAGATGCCTCTAGAGCGACGCGGAACAGTTTGAGATTGAAGGCACACATTTCCAATCAGAATGCGTGATGCTTGCAGCAGCAGTGAAGCAAATGGCAGTTGCCTTGGTCAGGAGGAGCAGCCGCCGGCAGCATCGGCGGGTTCCGAGCGAGAGGCCGAAGCCAACGAATCTCATTGCACCATTTGTGGGGCAGTGCAAACGGCGGCTCTCTTGGATCTACGCTCCAACCATGAGATGCACCGGCGTCTGAGCCGGGACTGGAAGATTCATGTGAGACTCCCAGACTTTTTACTATTGCTTTAGCTAATCTCCGATTTTCACTTCCCTCCAGGCCGATGTAATCCGTTCCACCTTGCGGGCCATTTGCGTGGACTGCGTCTGCAAGCTGAATATGCACTCGGAGGTAACGCGCTCCCTCATGCAGCGCATGCAACGGCTGCAGCGCTCTGGCGGTGGAACAACCACCGTGACGACCACCACACAGATGCTAAGTCCACCCATCGCGGATGCCGAGGTGTCCACCACTCAGGAAAACACTGCCGTGATGCCAAGTGCACGCAGCTCACGCTCCTCCTGCTCCGTGCTGGAGGTTTACCTCGCCCAGCCCACCGAATCGGTAGGGGATTCCGGAGGAGAGAAACATAATGCAGCCGCTGAAGGTTGGAAGTGGCGCACGCGGCTGGAGTGTCCGGAATGCGGACGAACCTACTTTCGGCGAGATTTCTATGCCCAACACGTGCGACGTTGCTGCAAGCGAAGGCCACAGCCTCGGCCACCGCGTGCCAAGTGCCGGGTGCGCAATGAGGCGGGGATCGATGATGATGAGGAAGACGACACTCCGCCCAGGGTGAGGCGTTCCTTGCGCATCTTCTATTGTCGCCATTGTGACGCAGAGTTCGAATCCCTGGTTAGTCAACGACAGCACGAGCGCGCTAAGCACCTCCAGCGCTTTCCCTGCGATTTGTGCGAGGCGGAGTTCGACACCAAGTACGAGTGGGAGCTGCATCATACCATTTGCCAGGCCAAGAGAGAGGTGGGTGCTTAAAAACTTGACTTTCAGCTGCAATACCTTGACTTGCTGATCTTTACAGGCTCTGGGAATCCTGCAGCTGGAGGAGGAGAGCGGTCAGGCTGCCCTGCCCTCCAGGACACGTTCTCAGTCCCGCGGCTGCTCTGTTTTCTGGGACAAGTACGATCAGGAGGAGGATGAGAATGGCAATGATGAAGAGGAGGATGGAGATGATGAAGATATGGAGAATGCCATGTACACACGCCGCATGAATTTCACCGGAGATTGGATTGTAAATCACAGTAGAAGCAACAGCAACAGTGCCATGAATCTATCGATGATGATGTACGATGAATACGGATTGGGGGAGACGCACATGACCACCGACAAGGAGTACGGTAGGGTGATGGCTCCAGGCTTGCCCAAGCTAATCCTTACCAGCTCTTTATTTTTCTATATCTCCTTTACAGACCTTTACCTGCTGGATTTGCTGATAACCCAGGTGCGACTAAACGCCTTCACCTGCTTCATGCCCGCCTGCGGCTATCAGACGGACAGCTTGGTGGCTCTGATGAAGCACGACTACCTTGAGCACTGGAAGATGAGCTGGTTTTACTGCCACAAGTGCGGGGATGTCTTCACCAGCAAGTAAGTAGAGCAGCATCTAGGGTTTCCTATGGAATTCTCTATTTCCACATCTTTTGCAGGGTCTTCCTGGACTATCATATGCATCGCCAGAACCGCGGCCTCTACATCTGCCACAAATGCCGCGATGAATTCGAATTCCAGCACCAACTGGACCGCCACTTTCTGCTCCACAACAAGGGCATTAATTACCATTGCAATTTCTGTCGCCTGGAGTTCCTCAGCGAGGCGAAGCTGCTGGCCCATTGCAAGCGCTGCGGTCACAGTCCCAACGATGAGCCAAAAATCCGCATTGATAGCTCTCTAACCATCACCAATAGTTCCGTGGTGGAGTCTCATCTCAACGAACAGGATCTACGGCTAACTAGGGCATACAAGGAGCAAGAGTTGTATATACCCAGGGTCAAGGTGCCGTCTTTGCGACCGAAGCCATTGCCAGATCACAAACCCTTTCGCTTTGCCATTGGTATTTGTGAGTTTGATGAACGAAATCCTCCCAACTGCGTGGGTTGTCACTAAAGATAGGAGCTTACTAAGATTTAGTAATTAGATTTAGATAGCTGTATTTAGTGGAAATTAGTAGAAACAATGTGTATTTTTATAAAATAAATGAAAAGGTGGTAAAATGGATGTAAGAGTTTATTGTATTTAATTTTGTTTAGGGTTAGTTAAATCTTTTCTTGTACGCTCTTAAGAATACATTTTTTGGAGCGTAGAAAATATATTTTATTCAAGGAGAACCCCCAAAGAGACTAAGTCTTCCCAAATATATAAAAAATAAAAAAACATTCAAATTATTTGATTCTTCAGTCAGTTTTATTTAGCGCTCTTCACGCAGCTCTTTTACATGATGAAAGTCGTGTGTGTTTGTGTCTCTAGTTTATAATTTAAATTGCATTACAATTTGTATTTACTTAGGCGCTATGTAATATAGAGTTCGCAGGTGTATATAGGTGAGAGAACTATATGATTCTATGTACAGAGAGTTACTTGGTATAACAACATTAACATTATCTCGACCGCAAAGAGTCTAGGTTTAAAATTAAAGAGCCTATTGCATTGCCCCCAGCGCATGTTTTTTTTTTGCCTTAATCATTAAATTTTTTGTATTTAGTGTTTAGTTTTTAAGCCTAGTTTTGTGTGGTGGCTTAGAACTAATCAATTTGTATGGAACTTATGGCTATTTAGGGTTTAACTAAAGGATCTCTCCGATTTTGTTATTTTATTTGAATGCGTTTTTGTGTGCTGTTGCTCGTGGTACGTTTTCTTTTTTTGTTTTTCTTTTTTTGAGTCGCGGTGTCAGTCTTATAAATTCAACCCAGGACGATTTATATATATATATATATATATACTCTTCTATAACAAGGATATACGCTAGTTGAGGTAGTTCAAGTGTTCGAAGAAGATCGAAAATCATAAACGTAAGGCGTTCGTTCGGTTCGTTCTATTATAAATAATCTAGTGCTAATAATTTTTAAAACAAATCACTGGCATTTTAACAAAGTTGTACAAGTTGTGTGTAGCTGAGCCTCTTCTGCTCTGTCCTAATGCTCCTCCTAGTCCTCCTAATCCTCCTTCGACTGTACTCGCCCCGTCTGATCCCCGTTCAGTCTCATGTATAAGTGTGGGTCTAGCTTACGTTTGTCAGTTGGATCGGCGGGGAGCTGATGGTTTTCCCTACGATGATGGCCTACGAGTGCCTATAGCCTATAGCCTATGACCTATTCTATGCCTAGTCCTAGCTAATCCTAATCTCTGCTAATATTTTTTTTAGGCACAAAGTGATGATGCTGAACAACAATCTTAGCTTAATTTTAGTTGTGGTTTTTGTGTGGGTTTGATTTCGTGGTTGACGACGACTGGGACTTGAGGTCTCTCTCTCTTCTCTGTTCGTTTAAAGCTTCACCAACGCTGGCTCGGCTCTGGTTATGTCGAGAGCCGAGGGTTAAGGAAAGAAGTAACACAACAAGGGTTTAAAAGGGGGTTTAGGGGTTGAGCCTGGTCTAATCTAGGGAGTCGAGGCTGTCCGCCGCATACTGCCAGGCCATGGTGAGCGTTAATCAGTCAGCCCGCGCCTGGGGCTCCTCGCCCTCGATAAGTTCCCGCTTGAGGCCCATGCCCAGGGCAAAGGGTGGCGGCGAGTGTGGATAGTCCTCCTGTTCTCGCTCCCGCTCCCTCTCATGTTCATGCTCATGATCCTTGCCATTGGCACTGCTGGCATGCATGATCACCCCGGCCGCTCCTGCTCCCTCCACCTGTGGCGGCTGCGGCGAGTAGGGCGATGGTGGACGCTCCTTCCTCGCCAGCGACAGATCCTCCACATGCTCCTGCTCATGATCCTCCTCATCGTCGGCATCTTCCCGCTCGTCCTGGTCGCGCTCTCGCTTGATCAAGCGCTGTTCATGCTTTTCCATCTCCAGGTCCATGGCCTCCTGGTCCTGATAGTGACGGCCGGGGCTCGGTGATCGCATGCCATGGCCATTGGAACGCTGATCCATGTCCGCTGGACTACTGGACATGCGGTTGGCCGCTGCATGGGCAGCGGCGGCCAAGGCCATGGCATGGAGAGCTTCCCGGCCGGCCATGTCACCGCCTCGGTTCTCCAGAGCCTGCTGCAGGAAGGCATGATCCAGCAGGGCGGCTGCCGAGGGAGGAATGGTGGGTGGCATGCCATGGTGAGCGGGCACGTGATCCCCCTTGGAGTCACGTTTCAGCTCCGAGGGATGCACATGTCCATGGCCATAGTTGTGAGCAGCTGCAGCTGCTGCGGCCGCGGAATAAGGGAATCCCTGCGAGGCCTCAGCCCCGGGAGGACTACGCTTGGGGGTGCGATGGGTACCCCTGCCCGTGGTGATGTTCAGCTTGCGCACCTTGTCGTAGAGGGTGCGACTGGGTAGGCCGTACTTGCGGCTCGCCTGGAGCGCACTCATGCCCTCGCGCACCGCCTGGATGGCGCACATCATGTCCGCCCGCGTGTACTGCTTGTAGCGCTTCCATTCCGGCTTCTTGCCGCCGGACTGACCGGTCTCCTCCTCGAATGATCGATCTGTGTACGGGGACAGGGGCTCCTTGTCGCCACCATAGTCAGAGCCATTGAAGCTGTGGTTCCTCTCGCCGCCACCTCCACTTACACCCACTCCACCGGCCGTCGAGTGCTGGGGATTCTGGTGCGGATGCGTGGGGGTCTTCTCACCATTCAGGACCAAAGGGCCAGGTTGCGAAGAGTCGGCGGGGTTAGCTTGGGCCAGGACATTGCGCAGAATCGGTGTGTCGCGATTGCCGCTGAGCAGCATGCTCGAGATGGCTGACAGCTTCTTGCGCTTGAGGGGATTCATATCGGCGGCGGATTCGTAAACGGAGTTCAACATGGCAGCGGCAGCGGACGGGGTCATGGGCCATTGGCCTCCAGCTCCCGTCTCCGACGATGGTCCCGACGTTGGCGGCGCTGTCACATGAGTGGGTGTCAGTGGGGGCTCCGAACCGGTAGGACCTTGGCTGCGGTCCGCCGGCAGCGACTGGGGTGGATAGTGGTGACTGTAGGCGGGCTGATAGCCGCCATACTGGGGCGGCGGTGGTGGTGGTGGCGAGCAGCTGCTCGAGATGGCGGCGCTGGGCGAAATGTGGGTGGATGTGGAGATCACGGACGAGGAGTGGCTGTGGCTGCCTCCATTTAGAGGTTTACCTCCCGCTGTTGAGCTCGAGGTGGGCGTGGCACTGGAGCTGGCGTGATTGAACTTCATCAGGTTGTCGTAGAGCCCCTTGACCTGCAGCTCCTTGGCTGTGCGCAGGATCTCCGGTTCCTGGCTCTTGGTAACCGTCGTCTCGCCCGTGTACATGTACTGCAGCAGGGCCGCAATCTCGAAGCCCTTGACTCCGGGCAGAATGATGCTGCAGTGATCCTGGGGGACATCGCGCAAAATGTGCTGGAAATATGGGGAATTGGCGGCCAGGACAACGCGATGGGCCTGGAATTGCTCGTCGTCGACGACCAGGGTGCAGTCCACATAGCTGCCCACTTCGTGCAGGGCATGCAGGATCTGTACCAGGTTCGTCTGGTGGTTGTTCCAACGCAGACAGTAGGTCTGACCCACCTCTCCGCCGCCGCCACCGCCGCTGCTAGCGACAGTGCTACCGGGGGCTGTGGGGCCGCCCATCTCTAGGTCGTGCTCCTCCTCCTCCTCCTCCTGCTGTCGATGCCTGCGCCTGGGCTCTCGTTCCCGGTCGCTGTTCAGCCGGGAATGGTGATGATGATGCTGCTGATGATGGTCGGGCTCCTCGTCGGGAGCGGGATCGCTGCTGTTGCCGGTGCCGTGCGGATTGTAGACACCGTTCAGGCTGGTAAAGGCGGCGCTCAGCAGCGTCGGCGAGTAGAAGGATAGATGCTTCCTGACCTTGAGCGCCAGTTTAAGGCCTACGGATCACCTGGTTGCCTGAAAGTTTGATAAAACAGAGAGAGATATCCAATTAGAACGAGTTCTGCTTTGGTTTTCTTATTATTACTTTTTGGCAAAGGCAAATGTCAGGGAAAAGCCATTTTCAAATTTCGCATGGGTTGCTAAAATCAACAGGAAAAGCTGGAAAAACTTCGGGAAAATGGTGAGGGCGGCCCCCCGGAAGTCAGGTGTGCGAAAAAACGAAAAACTGGGGGATGGTCGCCATTTCCACGCATATATTTTTCCCTTCGCTTTTTTGGCGGAAAATCTTGCTTGTAAAATTTATGCCCCGTCGCCGCCGCCGCTGCCATCCGCCCCCAAAGTTTTATGCGCCATAAAAAAGTGAAAGCGAAAACGGGGGAGTGGATTTCAAGGAGAGAGTGGGCCGGGCAGGCAGGGAAAACGTGTAGGAAAATGGGGCGAAAAAAATATGCAAACATCCCTTGAAAAAGATGTGTGTGCGCGTATTTTTCCGGCTGCTTTTCGCGCGTTTTACGTTTTTTTACGCATACATATTCAAATCTATATGTATATTATCCTGCCCTGGAATTGGGAAATGGAAATGGAAGGACCCCCTCCGCACACACACACACATTGCCAGAGAGAGTGAGGAAAAAATGTAACTGAAAAACTTGCAATAATTTTCATTCAGTGCGCCATATGCCCTTGACTTCTCCCAGGGACTCAAGTGGACGCCATATGCTGGGATCGCCAACCCGAAATCGCCGTCATGTGTTGACCAGCCGTCGAGGAGTTGGCATCCGAAAAATCAGCCATGTGGCGTGTGTGAATCTCCAGTTACCAACAGGTTTAGGGTAGGAGTATCTTATAGATACTCCGCGCTCTATAATGGCAATCAAGGATGAACAGGGAAATGTCAAAGGGGCGAGGCACCGTAAAAAATACACAAGGTATTTGCCAAAAAAAGAAATCAAGAAAATGAAAAGAAAAGAGAACAAAGACCACAAACAAACGATCGCATTATTATTGTCTGCGGAAAATGCGCAAGAGATCGGATCAATTGTTGTCTAGCCATTGTCTGGCCGTCAGGATAATGGGCAACCTGCAGAGAGATCCCGGACCCCGATCCTCCCTTTTTTGCGCAACAGCTCCTCGAGCAGGTAGCAGGTAGCTGACGAGCTCCTTTGAGCACATTAGTCGTGGTCGTAATCGTATAATACCATTTTCCGAAGGGCAATGCTTCAACGCCTCCGTCTTATACGCACATTGCGCATACGCCACGATCGCCAAAAATGCGAAGCAGCGCGAAAAGCTCTCGGGCGGAAAAGCTCTGGCTAACAGTGCTCAAATAACAGTGGCCACCATTTTGTTGGATTTCTCGCTTAATTAAAATTATCACAAGCCAAAAACCTAACTGGCCAAGCGAACGTCATTGAAACAAAATGCACTTGGGAGGTAACCGGTTTTTGGGGCTCAGGTTTTTTGGATCTTTTTAGGGTTTCCAGTTTCCATTTGTTGTTGTTGGTTTTTTTTTGTTTTTTTGGACACGTACCAGAGTTGGAAAAAATTGCGAAACAGGCTTATTGGGGGTTATATTTAATAAAATAAATTGTTTTTATAAGAAATTGGTATATATTAAGCGGTTAACAGAATTAAAAATTTGGCTCAATGAATTTGTTTTTATTTAAAACTAGTTTAAAAGTTTAATTTCAATTTAAATGTGTGCTATTTTAAGGAATATTGAATTTTCTTATAAAAATGTTCGTTTTAAACATTTTAAAAAACTTAAAAATTCTAAAAAAAAAGCATGTAAAAGAAGGAAATATTAAAAAATGTGCCAAAAATTAAAACAATTTCTTTTAAAAAGTTAAATAATACCAGATTAAAGTAATAATTAAATTTTAAATGGCACACTTTGATCAAATAAATTAAATATTGACCCTGATTTAGGTTGCAATAATTTTTAAAGTTCAAAATCTTAAAGAAAAATATTCAAAGTATTTTAAAAACCTTTATTCCTAGTGATTTCATAAAGTTATTTTTATTTTCCACAGAAAAACTTGCTATTTTCTTTTTAAATTATTAAAAAAAATTAAAATCTTACCACGAAATATTGAAAATGCCGCAGTTTTGGGCACTTAATCGTAGATATTGAAATGTTGTTTGAGGACACAGGTTTTTTAAAACTATGTTTTGCAGTATTTTAATGTGTTTTTATTTTTTGTGATTTTTGCAGGAAAATGTTTCACATTTGTTTTTATTTTTTTGCAGTTGTTTTCCGCCTTTGCACAAACACACACGCAAACACAAAGCCGTACACTAACACAAGAGTTTCCAAAGTTGCCAAAAAATATTAGATATTTTTCTCCTTTTATTTTTTTTTAAGAAACTGCGACACGTTTAGCGTTTGTTTTTCAAAGTCGTTGAGTGATTTTTAGAGTTTTGCGTTCACGGTGTTGCAGATTCGAGCGCTGAAACATGAATAAAACTGCCACGGTTTTCGTGTGCACCAAGTCATTGAAGACCAAATTTCCCGAGCGCCGCCAGAGCGGGATGGAGCTATGGGAAAACTGTTCGAAGCGGCGGGGAAAACTGTGCTACGCTCGCCACGTTTCCACCCTCGCGCTCTCTCTTTCGCACCGTTGCAGTTTGCCGTATGTGTGCGTATTTTTTTTTGCGCTTGCACTTGGTTTTGCTCTCTCTTGCGGTCTCTCGCTCGCTCGCTCTCTCTCTCTGGGTGCGTGTGAGTGCGTGAGCGAGATTGCCGGAGTGCGTGTGCATAAGTGTGCGGCTTGCATATGGCGGCCGCTGTCATTGGACCTGCAGTGTGCGTGAAAGAGCGCGGAATAGTTGCAGTGTCCCCCTCTGTTTTTTTAGTTTTTTTTTTTTTTTTTTTTTTTGGCGACTGCATTTTTTACTTGTCTATATTTTTTGATACTTGAATTAAAGCAGGTTGTGTGGCTGGAAAACTGGTCTCTCTCCGCCGTTTTTAACGTTACCCCTTGCCCCGCGGTTGCCTTTCCTTTGAGTTGCGTTTTGCCCCCACTCCATCGAAGAGGTCGCCATTTTGGAAGTCAACCTTTTAGTTTTTCGATGCGTTTTCGTGTTCATGCTTTTATTTTACCTTTTTTCTGCAGAGACCCGGAAAACCTCTTAGTTATGCAAATTTCCTTAAAGAAACGAAAGATAAAGTAACGACCTTCGGCAATCAATGCGTAATTGAATGCATTTTCCCGCTGCAATGCGATAAATTTGCATACGTCTTCGACCTTCGACCCCTTGGACGTTAACCCTTGCGTTGGGCTGCAAAGACATTGCATTTTCTTCTGATTTTTTATGCAAATTGCAAAATAACGGTCGACGGAGGGGTTGAGATTTCCCTTTTGAGGGAGGGGGTAAATTGAAAAATTTAGGCATTTCCCGGTTTGTTTCATTGTTATGAAATTTATGCGATTTAGGCACCTGTAGAGGTGTCTTTTGGCATTCTCAAAATAACGGTCGTCGGGGGATTTTTAGGGGTTAAGGTTAAGGAGGGTAAAGGGATAAGGGGTTGCTTCGATTTCTGTAATTTTTAATTAATTAATTCAAGGCACCTGTTGTGTTTGTTTTTTCAGAAATCTGAAGCAATAGAAAACTATTGGATCTTTTTATGGTTTTAAATAAAATCTTAGATTTTCGCATTCGATTTCGGACAAATTATACAACTTATAAAGGTTCAAAAAGGTTTTTAAAAATCTATGCATTTATAACTTTTAATATTTTTAAGCTCAGAAATAATACTTAAACCCTAGAAATATTATGTTCTACTTTAAAAACAGTGTTTCCAACCGAATCCACTAGAATTTTCCCCCACGTTGCTCCACTATTTGGCAATGGTCATCGAGCTGGCAGCCTGTACTCTCTTTTCTGGCTACATTTTCCCCTGCCTCGGCTCAACTTACATTTTTTAATTGTTCATCATTAGGTTTTTCAGCGTTTCCTCTGTGCATCGACCCCTCGTCAACCCGCTGCCGCCTCCACTCTAAGTTGCCAAACCCATTAATCATGTTTTCGAAAATTAAGGTCAACCGCATTTCACGGAGCAGCTCGCTTGCTTTTTTTCAACTGCATTTTTTTGGGTTTCTTGATATTTTTTCTTTTCTTTTTTTTTGGCAGAGCCCAGCGAGATTTTGAGGGGAACTCGACTGACTATCTAAACTTCCAGCACGAAATTAGTTCGCAAGTGCATTCACCTCCCCGAAAAAAATACAGAGCTGATAGTGCGAGAAATGAGTGTAAGTGCGGGCATAAAAAAGCGGAAAAGTTGCCGCAACTCTAGGGCTTCATAATCTGTGGAGTCGGACCAGAGCCTCGGGGGCTTTACAACCCCTTCCCGGGTTGTAATCTTATCATCATTACTACAAACCGGCGACTGTCCATATCGCAGTGAAAGTGTGGAAAATGCATTTACAAGAAGCTGGAAAACGCTGGCATTAGAAAATGGTTCGAGTTTTTTGCAGGTTAAATTCAATTAATGTAATAAATGTGTTTTAGAGGCGAGAGAGTTTTGTAAATTTAATATTTGTAATTAAAAATCTATTAAGTTATAAAGTTTGGGTAAAGTTAAACACTAAGATTTGCTTTATCTTTGAATGAAATTAATATTTTGGATTGTAAAATAATTTATATATGAAATCTATAAAATATTTGAGTAATTATCCCATCAAACTATGAAAGTCAAAGCAAAATGTTTACCTCTTCAAGGGAAAAAGTACATCTAATACGTCTTAAAATGGAAAATTAATTCAAATGCAATTTCAAATTGATTAAATTACATTATTTTTGTACTCAAAATATAATCCCTCCTGGTAAGCCGCATGTGTCTTGATCTTTGAGAATTCCCTTAAACGGATTATCCTCTGGTCAGTGTGTTGACTTTGCTGACTTTTTGACTAACAGATAAAGACTATGCTGGCTAATTCCGGCTTCATGTCTTCATCGACAGATATTTCCCGCCGCTCATTATGGGGGATTAGCAGGGAGAAATCCGCACATAATCCACCACAAGGCAATAGTCAGTTTTTCAGTTGCTCAATGAAGCTGAGAGAGTGGGATCGCTTAATGAACTGCCGAAGGATCCTCTCATATCCAGGCCACAGCTACCTGCTGGCAAAACATACATATGTGCCAAAAATACAAGGGAAATAATAACGCTATTAATAAGTTCTTTGTTCTGGGATAATCTCTAGCCGCTAGGTTATCTCCAGACTCGTGTTATTTTAAACTAAATTTGCATTTAATGTTGATATTTGCAAACTGCACGACAAACTGCATGTTTTTCCATTATTTTCGCGATAAGTTATCAGCTTTCATTGTTCAGATTTTCAGCTTATGGTCAGCACGTGGTCATAAAGCAGAACCTTTGACCTGCTCTGCTTCCTTTGCATTCTTGCATTTATGATCCTGGCGAAAGGGTTTCTTAGATCCTAAGGGTTTATGGCTTTACTGCTTTTCGCAAAAATGTGCCAAAATAGTTAGCTGGAAGCCCTTTGCCGATTTTCTTGGGTTTTATGATACCCTTAACCCTTTGGTCATTATCATTGAGCGACTATCGTTAATACTAAAAATATTTTGCATGCAGAAAAGAAGGGTAAAGAGTTTTCTTGGAATCGCTAGAGATATATTTTGCCTGTCTATAAGATTCAATCAATGTCGCCTTGGGGTGGTCTCTCATTTGTCATGCAAAATAAAAAATGCAATATGCATAAAAAACGACGAGTTTTTCCGGCCTTTCCCAGGCCCAACCCTTTGGCTATTACTTCCTTTTACCTGAGAATGGCTGAGGCTATCTTCAAAGGTGGTCTCAGTGCTGCTGCTGCTGAAGTGTCGCCTTTTCTTTTTGGCAGTATCTTTGAAGTAGCAGCGGCACGTGAAAAACTCTCCAAGGAAAATGCACCCAACACAAAGGCAATTAGCGTGGCTCAAAGGGAAAACAGGAGCCGACGCCGACAACGTCGAAGTACTCTGGACAATGGACAGCCTGCGGCGAAGTTTTGGCTCAGTGACAGGATCGTTTGGCCAGGACCTGCCATAAAAATCGCTTCTTCTAACACTCACGTGCTAATGGAGGCGAAAATTTAGAGACGCTGTGATAGTGATACCTTTTTCATTATTTTAAAGGCACTGGGAGAAATTTTAAAAGAGTTGTGAGATGAAATAAAGGTGGAAATTGAGTAGAATTAATATAAATATGTATTAAAACGTTTAGAAAAATATATGTATAGATATTTTACTTAAATACACATTTTAATTTACATAATTATGACTATAAAAATTAAATTTACTTTAAATTATTTTTTAAATTACTTTTCTCTCAGTGCATCTATCTGTTTACACAAATTTCTCGCGGCGGAAGGGCAAAAAAAAAAATACGAAAACTATCTATCAGATACACATTAAGTTATGCAGTTGTGCGTGCTTGTGTGTGTGGGCAGCGCAACAGTCGGAAAAACAAACAAAAAGTGCAGCCGATGAAAATTAATAAAAAAAAAAATGCAACAAGAAGACCACGAAAAAACGCCGAAAAGCGAATACGAATACGAATACGAATACTAAAGTGGAGAGTGCAAAGTGGAGAGAGGGCAAACACAGACCAGAGCCAGCGAAGCAGCGGAGAATGGAGAATGGCTGGAAATTTATCGCGCGCGTCATTCGCCGCTGCAACTATGGAAAGTAGCACGTAGACGACTTCCAAAAAAGCCTGCTGGAAGGGGGCGCATGGGCGAAGGCGAATGAGGGGGAGCGCTACGCATGGGTCATTGCACTTTTGCAACGCACACACACTCAGCGGAGATAGCAACATTTTCAACCAGAATTTCTGTGTGTGTAAAAAAAAGGCACCGAAAATTAGGCGAAAGCAAACACCGAAAGACGGGAGAAAGAGCCAAAGCAGAAGGCAAACAAGATACAGCATTACATCTGTGTGTGTGTGAGTGTGGGGAGTGGGGGGCTGTGTGGGCAGAGGAGGAGTGGGGTGCTGTGAGGGGTTGGGGAGACGGTCGATTGCAACTGCAACTTTGCACGCGTCGGCCATTTTGTGAGCGTTTTCGCTGGCAGATACAAAGATACTCTCGCGCAATAAATACACATATACAGAGAGAGAAAATATTGTAAGCAATTATTTATTTAGAGTATTCTTTAAGAGCATTAATTGTTTTATTATTCGTAGCTTAATTAAATTTAAATAAATTTCGCCATTGGTAAGCAGTTTTTAAAATAGTAATTATTTGTTTATATCTCAATATAATTATAAATAATATTTATAATGAACAATTGATTCATTAGAAGATCTGTTGTTATAAATATAAATCCACTCTTTCGTAGTAAACCACCTAGATTTTCTTCAGTGTATTAACAACTTCATATCTGTTTTTGGGGGCTTATTTCGACAGATATAAAACTCGTGTTTGCAATGATCGTTTTGGGAGAGAATGTCATATACCCTTGGTCTGGCG